GCGGACAAACATTTTGGCCGGTCTGAATAATTCGTTACAAACCATGGTACATATGATCACAGCACAGCCTCAGAGCCAATGCACCAAACATTGCAAAGCAATTAGTAAAGACAAATTTTATAACAATTTAAAACGCGCCGCGGAGGGAGGTCACAACCGCTCGTTCTGTCATTTCCTAAACATATCCACGACAAAGACACATACACATGTGACTTTTGCCAACATCCAAATGAAAACATATCGTTTTGCTTGGGACAACTTAAAGATGGCACGAGCATGCATACAGAATGACAAGTCAAGGTAAAAATAGTGTATGAAAAGAAATGGCAAGGCACATGAAATTCATAATGTATGGCGATTTGAGGCCAAATCCTCACGAACTCTGCTTAATTACTGTACCAACGGCATACATAAGGTTTCATTGTAGGGGAAGACGGGGTCAGGTCTTGAATGGTATACAGGCATCTCGGCGAGTAAATATGGAAAGAGTACACAGCCTATGCAAACCAGAGAGTTGCGTTGTCATTACTCCGCCATGTTCGTCGTAGTGCGCGATGGAGTCCCAGCAATGGTGAGCGTGAGCCATACTGTGGGACCGATGTCACAGAGTCTTGATTCGTGATGTGATCCATATTCCGCTCCCGTTTTTTTTTTCTATGGGTAGCGAGCTAACATTTCTCATCCTTGCTGCAGATCGATATCGAACTGTCAGTTTGACGTCACGGTGTGCCCCGATTACCACGAAATTTGGTGCTTAGGGACTATCGACACGCTGCATCTGAAAATCAGAGGTCTGAAGGTTGTATTCTGCGCAACGTTCGAGTTAAAAGCTTCTTAGCCATTGCCATTTTCCGTCCCTTGCTGACTCTACCATAGGTCCCCTCCAGACTTGAGAGCACTCTTCTGCACCTCAGATGGGCTCATTCAGTACTTGGGACGAGCTTATCATGATTCATGATTTAGAGCTTATCATGATTGGGCAGCGGCGTCAGACCCTCCGGACGCCGGCGCCTCCCGAGTGGGTAAGCCGAGCGCTGGCTACGCTGTCGGCACGATACCAGGCGGCGCCCTGCGTGTGTAGTCTGCTCATCAGCCTGAGCTAGTGCACGGCACCCGAGCACCCTGCGGGTGTAGCCTGCTTACCAGCCTGAGGCAGTGCACGGCACCCGAGCGCCCTGCGGGTGTAACCTGCTCACCAGCCTGAGGCAGTGCACGGTCCCTGCGGGTGTAGCCTGCTCACCAGCCTGAGCCAGTGCACGGCACCCTGCGGGTGTAGCCTGCTCACCACGGCACCCGAGCTGCTCACTGCCAGCAGCCACCAGTCCTCCCGCGAGCACTGCACCGGCCCTGCTGCGAGCACTGCACCAGTCCTGCTGCGAGTACTGCACCAGTCCTGCCGCGAGCACTGCACCAGTCCTGCTGCGAGTACTGCAGCAGTCCTGCTGCGAGCACTGTACCGGCCCTGCTGTGGGCACTGTACCGGCCCTGCTGTGAACACTGCACCAGTCCTGCTGCGAGTACTGCACCAGTCCTGCTGCGAGCGCTGCACCGGCCCTGCTGCGAGCACTGCACCAGTCCTGCTGTGAGCACTGCACCAGACCTGCTGCGAGCACTGCACCAGTCCTGCTGCGGGCACTGCACCGGCCCTGTTGCGATCACTGTACCGGTCCTGCTGTAAGCATTGCACCAGTCCTGCTACGAGCAGTGCAACGGCCCTGCATAGCCGCCGGCTCGCGACCAACCAACCCAGCAAGAGCACTGCGAACAGGGAGTCGGCGGCGACACTGTCCACAGCAACACCAGCAGGCAGCTGCTGGTGTCCAGCCCCGCACGCCTCCCGTGCCGCGCACCTGGCGCGGTTCGAGGTGCCCAGCTGCAGCCTGCCGAGCGTCACCCGACACGCGCGGCTCAGCGAGCGGCTGGGCCTGGTGCCGCTTCGATCCTGACCCTGCCAGGACCTGCGGCGGAAGCGTGACCGCCAGCGGTGCGTGTAGTGGAGTACGGAGGCCGTCGGGGAAGCGGACACCACACGGCCCTCGTGACCGCCAGCGGTGCGTGTAGTGGAGTACGGAGGCCGTCGGGGAAGCGGACACCACACGGCCCTCGTGAGCGGTCATGGCGAGGAGAGCGACTCGCCGTCAACGCCGCCCGTCCGGACACTTCGCGGCACCAAATTGGCGAGTTTACGTGCGCTAGAAACAGAAAGATACGCAAAACCCCGCCATAAAACCTGATCTAGTGATTTTTGGAACGGACGTGCCGAGAAGACCACGCCCTTCTAAGTTGGCGGCTGTCAACACGCCCCACAATATCAAATTGATAATGCTTACGAGCCTTGCGACTTGGAAGTTACGCAAAATCCCACCTCAAAATCGGACGCCCCGTTGCACCGACCTGGCAGTTTTATATCAATCCTCTGATAGATTGAGGAACGCGAACTTGACCACTAAACAGCAAGTGTTGGTTGCTGGATCATGCAGACAACAGCAAGTCGTCAATGATCGTCTCTGGATGGATCCCTCCTTGCAGGCACGACGGCCAGTTCTACGGCTCGTCCGAAGCTGATGGCCTTCCGAGACCCTGCTTCGAGGCTGCTTGCACCTCTCCCGTCCGCTGCAGCCGGGAAGTAATGTCGGGATTTACGGCGCCGGAGCCGCCAAGATTTACTCCGCTGCCGCCCTGGTTGCCATGGCAGCGGGCGCGGCGGGAGCTCGTGCGTGAGCCGGCGCCGACGCCGTGTCGTGCCCGCGTGACGAATGCGTGACGTCGGCGTGACGGAGCAACGGCGTGTCGCACGCACGTGGCCGTCCACGCCACAGATATGCGGAAGGAAGCCGCCGAGACGGGCAGGGGAGTCGCTGATGGAAATACCAGTAGTGAAGCATTTGGTTTGGATTTGGGTGTACTGGGTTAGCCCTTTGTCTCAAATCTTCCTCATTGAATTTGATCTTCCTGGAGTGATGCCGCACAGTCTCCGCTCGGCACCCCTTGAGAAGTCTGCTTCAGCATCGCAGAATCATTGTTAATTTCCAATCATCCCCACACATTTGTTACCTTGTTGCTACCCGGGCTGAGTCTACATGCGTATAGCATTCACGCACAGTGGGCCACATAGCACCTGGCGCCTTCGGTCGCCCGCCGGTACGGGCGGTGAGACGAGACCGATGTCCCCAGGGCAGGGAAGGGGGCCGTCAGCCTCCCAACTCTCGTGGAGGCGAAGGCCGACGTAGGCCTGCAATACTTCCTGGGCGGGGGGGGAGGGGGTCAGCCACCCACATTTCGTGACGGTACGGACCGATTTGTTGGACCAGTGGTCCCCGGGGAAAAGACGTCACGCCACGGCTACACCTCCCGTGACGTGGATTAGCGCCCATTGTCTGCACGGTCTGTGACTCTCGCCAGTGCGGACGAACCAGCCGGCCGAGCGCAGCCCGACCAGATGTGCACGGAAAAACCAGCCGGCCGAGCGCGCCTGACCAGCTGTGCGCGGACGAACCAGCCGGCCGAGCGCGGCCTGACCAGCTGTGCGCGGACGAACCAGCCGGCCGAGCGTGGCCCGACCAGCCGTGCGCGGCGCACGGAGACGGCTGGTGCCCTGGGCGTGACGACCCGCTAATCAGGGGTGACCGTTCACTGATGTGACGTCAGCGCCAGCCAATCAGAGTGGGCGATGCCCGGCGGGCCTCGGTGCAGGTGAAGGGCTCGTGTTGACTCGGTAACGGAGTACCACTCGATGGTCCGAAGGCCTCTTCAGACGGCTCTGATGCAGCGTCTTCGCTGGGGCGGGGCTCCAGCGAAGAGGGCTTCACGTGTAGTTGCCCGGGCCCAATGCGTCCGTCGCTGTTCTCAAATGATGGACCGCTTGTGTGTAGCTGTGACACAGGTCCGCCGGCAGCAGTGCTCGCACTTTGATGGGCGGCGTTCTGGCACGAGGGCGGAACCTAGAACGTGACGGTTTGTACGATCCCTGGTGACACACCGCCGGTTCACGTTCCTTTACCGTGCTGCCGTTGTCCGTCTTGTCTTGTTCTCTCTCCCCTGCTTCCGTCATCGGCGGCAGAGGGAAACCCGCCCCGCGTCAAATCAGTCCGCAGAGAACGACGGCTCACATCATGCAGAGACGCGACGCATCTCCTATAGGCCTCACACAGTGGCCGACCCAGGGGGGAGAGGGGCGTAGGACCATACCCCTTCTCCTCGCATTGGACAGAAGGGAGACCATAATGCTTATTTCGGTCACACATAACCTCTAATTTTTAAGACGCACCTATGTTCAGGGTCACCACAAACGGCCTCAACTTTTGAAGTTCAACATGAAAAATCAAATACAATTGACATCTAGAAATAAGTGAACTAAATCTGGGGGAAAATTCCGGCGGAAGACATTTATTTTTACCGCTAAAATGTACTTATCTGAGCACAAAGTGACCGAAACCCGAGGACTTCATTGTGAGCGGAGGGGGGGGGGGGGGAGGGGCGTTGCACCAAGTTCCAGGGGCTACCACAATAAAGCATTGCCCCTCCCTCGAGAAAATATTGGATCCGCTCTTGGCTTCGCACCATCACCTCACAGAAAACTCTGCTTTTCCGGCCGTTCACTGACCGGCTGGACGTACAGAGCTGTTCACCTAAGCTCAACAGCCTGAAGTGCTAGACCGCATCAGCATCGCACTCACAGCCTTGACAGCGCTCTCTGTGCCCTGCACTGGGCCGTACCACCAGATCGCCGATCGTCCCCCGCCTCGATCGAACGACGCCAAACAATCGGCCCGGCGGACCAGAGACGCCACCTGGATCGCGCCGCGTTCCAGTTGCTTGGTGGCACCGTATGCGACTGAGGGCACTGGGGGCATCACCAAAACACTGACACGCCGCCGCACGGGTCAGTGAACGGTAGGCTTGGATCGAAGTCAGTCGCTGTGCCCTCCCCCCCCCCCCCCACCCCTCACCTGGTGCCAGAGGCGGGTCAGCGGTGCCTGACTCGGTATGCAGCCAGAGGGTCACAGGCCAGAGGACTCCGGCGGCTTCTGTCCGCTGGTGAAGTACAAGTCATGGACGGTGATGTCCGGGTTGAGTGTGGGTAACACGTCCTCGCTATGATAAACCGCCCGTTGCACGGCCTGGTCACGGCCGGCGTGTCGCGCAGTGACGCGGCACGTGACGTGTTTATAGCCGCGCGAGGCGTCAGCAGATGGCAGTCGTTCTCTCACCACAGCCATCGCGGCCGCTGGCTGGTGCAACTCGCTGCCCCCTCCCGCTCTCTCCCTCCCTCTGTGGCTGGCGTGGATGAGAACGGGGTTCTCAACGTGTGTGAAGACGGCTATGTGGGGCTGAGTGGCAGGGCCAAGGTTACCATAATTCATTGTCAAGCTTCACTGAAAACATATAAGCCTCGTCACTCAAGACAAAGCTCGGTAAAGCCGTAGCTAAGAGAGGGACTGCGCTTTCGTTTTCACAGGGGCAAACCAATTAATTAACACACTGAAGAGCTACACAAATCATATCTTGAAACAGGTCGACGCAACCTCCTGTAAAGACGAGCATATTGGCGCGACTTGAAGGCACCGTTCAAGTCTCTCTCTATAAATCGAGCTATGGCTTGAAAGATGCACAAAGCAAGGTTTGAAGTTCAGTAATAACAAAACTGCTTATGAAAACGGTTGAGTGCTGACAGGAAGCTCTCGATGTTGGAAATATTGGCACTGCTAGTTACGCCAATATTCCCCGCTTTTTTGCCCGCCGTTTGAACGTGATCGGACCTCTTTTTCACGTGAAGTGAGATAAAAGGTGACGGGCAGTGTCCTTGACAAAATAATGGTTCCTCCACGAACTATTAAAAGCCCATGAAGTTCTTCAGGTGATAAGCCATAGCGCATCCGATCAAATGAACACTGAGGAACTTTTCGTACAGCTGCGAACCATTTGCGGCACGAAGACTTGCGAAAAGTGTCACGCCGAAAACCCATAAACGGGGAGGACGGCAGCGGCGGACGGTTAGCAGCTTAATAGCGGTAAAAGCACGGACTTTTCTAAAAGGAGTCACGTCCGGGTCGACACTACACACAGCCACACAGTTCACATCCGACCACATGACACAGCCACCGGACGAAAGTCAGCCATGATTGCTGGAAAATTGCTATCCGCTGAGGGAGGGGTGATTAAGTTCACGCCCTGCCCACGGATCACTGAGGTCAAATGACTCAGCTGAATCGTGCTCCGGGGTAGCCTTGCCCACCTCCTCGCAGCAGTGATATACAGGATGCGCGCGATTATCTGACTGCATTGCTGCATGGACGGGAGAGATCTACAGGCCCACTGAGGCGTGACATGCCAGATCTCTCCCAGACCATTCTGTCGTGGTTCAAGGGCACACCCGGCTTCCATTCCACCTCAGCTCTCGATGTGCCATGACAAAGGAGCCAGTGTGTATCGCCTACACTTGGCAACAATATTGCCCGCCTGTGGGTCGGTCTGATCAGCGCATGTTCTGAGAGATTAGTTCATTGCCCGAGTGACATTCACTGTGTCAGGCTAATTGACAATGCGTTGGCGTTGCTGGCTGATGGGGCCATCGCCGCGGTAACATGGCAGCGGCCCACCGACCCTCAGCCCATGTCTCACGCACTTGTGGGCAGCGAGTCAAGGTGCTAGTCCAATGAGCCCTGAATATGGAGGCAATGAGTCGTTGACCGTTACCAGATGAAACCCCCATTGTAGAAGTAGAACAATACCTCACCGTCAGTGACTCCCGAACCTGGAGCCAACGCGTCACTGACAGTCACATAATGAACTCAGCATTATCCCGAAGACTCCTAATCTGCAGCCAGTGAATCACTGATCCTCATCCAGTGACTGATGGCAGTTCAAAACACAGGGCGTGGTGTGTGGGACAACGAAGCACAGCCAGTGGCGTCACGTCACCGCCGCGCATGACAACCCCGCCGCACTGAAGCCCGCTCCGCGACTTCGGACCGCGGCGACCGCGGTGGAAGGATGCGTGTGTGCTCAGTAATTCCCACTCCGGAGGCCAGCGACTCGCTGACACTGACCCAAATACACATTTCTTCGGGTACGCGACCGACGCATGTTCCTGCGTACGAGGAAAGTCAATCACCAGTACACCTGACAAAAACCGAGGTTTCCAGCGCATCGCAAACTTGAGACGGGGAACGTGCATGTGGGCAGCGTCTGACAGAGGTCTCAGGGGTGGTGCAGTGAGCAGCGTCTGGCAGAGGCCGCGATGGTGGTGAACTGAGCAGCGTCTGACAGGTAAAAAGGGTGTTGCAGTGGACAGCGTCTGACAGAGGTATCAAGAACGGTGCAGTGAGCAACGTCTGACAGAGGTCTGCAGAGTGGTGCAGTGAGCAACGTCTGACAAAGGTCTCAAGAGTGGTGCAGTGAGCAACGTCTGACAGATGTCCGAAGAGTGGTGCAGTGAGCAACGTCTGACAGAGGTCTCAAGGGTGTTGCAGCGGACAGCGTCTGACAGAGGTCTCAAGGGTGTTGCAGCGGACAGCGTCTGACAGAGGTCTCAAGGGTGGTGCAGTGCGGCATGCCATCCTTTATCAGCCTGCAACTGAGTAGTTGCCCTTTTTGTAACGAGCGCATTCCCGCCAAAGGGCACCCAACAGAACAAAAGCTGAGGTATTTTTAAACTCTGGATAGACGGCCACATAAGCAATCTCTCAGTGAAAGTCGTAATATGCCAACAAAAATGGCGAACAAATGAAGACTTCTACATGGAAGGCAACAGACGACCAACTTAGGCGCCGAAAAGATTTGGTGTAGAGAGCATGACACGCAGCACTTTGTCCAAACACACCACGTCTTCGTCCAGAATACACAAATGGCAAGAGGCGTGAGACCTTCCTTCCGCCCATTCTAACAGAGCCATGGATTGGGGTGGACCAGGCTATCCCATTAAGTCAAAAGTCTCGAAATCAGAAGTGTCATAACACATTCATCAGGCATGTCTCCACGCGGGGGCTATTCACTGCGTGGTAGGCAGATGGTGAGAGACGGCATCCGATATTTCATAACAATCTGAAATCCAGACTGTTACTCCCCGCGCCAATGCATCACCGTTGTCGAACCATGCCAATCAACACACACGACTTTGCTTTCGTCTCTGCAGGCGTGCGTGCAGCGTCCTGCGCGATTACGCTGTCAATGACCACACCAGTCAAAGCCAGCGCAAAATAGCAGAAACAGACATCATCCTCATCTTCCACCGCCGCTGCCTGTCATATCCCGCCTGTCATCCGGCTAAGCCAGCCAAAACGATAGAAAAGGCATCCACATCTGCCGCTGACGTCACCCGCCGTAGCCCGCCGCTCCGCCGACAGGACTGGCAGGTCCTGGCGCTCGTGCCCTCCCGGCGCATCCCCCCCCCCCTCTCCCCGCTTGTCCGTCGTGGCGTAACCGCGCAGGGCCGGCGCGCGAGCGGTCTCCGTCCGGAAGCGGCGCCGCATCGGCCCGCTCCCCGCCGCCGGAGTGAGAGTGGTCGTGCAATCTGCGCACTCCAGCCGCCGGCTTTCTCCGCCGCCGAGCACGTCCCGGCTGGGGGCGGCGGCGTCTGACCGACCGGCCACGTCTGAGCCCCCGGCGGGCGGGGCAGAGGTCAGGCTCCGCCGCCGAGCACGTCCCGGCTGGGGGCGGCCGCGTCTGACCGACCGGCCACGTCTGAGCCCCCGGCGGGCGGGGCAGAGGTCAGGCTCCGCCGCCGAGCACGTCCTGGCTGGGGCGGCGGCGTCTGACCGACCGGCCACGTCTGAGCCCGCCGGCGGGCAGGGCAGAGATCAGGCGGGGCGCGAGGGAGCCGAGGTCAGCAGCGCAGTGGACATCAGCCGGCTGCCGACTGTCAGCTGGCTGCTCGCTCATCTATGCAGTCTGTGCGGCGACTACGGAGTCAGCAATAGAACGGTGGTCGACCGGTGTTCGGCCGGTCGAGCCAGGCCTAAGAATGCCAGCCGGTGGTGATGGTACTACTCAGTGATCTATGACGTCATGAAGTTCTCACGACTTATCCTGTTTGCCAACAGAAACCAATTGGTCGCCAAACGGAAGGCTGGGTCCACTTTTACAGGCGCACTCTCGCATTGCTGAGTCCTGAAATATACCTTCCGTAACCTCAAAATGTCCTTGGGAGACATCACTGGGACCATCGCAATATATTCCGCAATGCAGCATAGAATAGTCGGTGAGTAACAGCCTTTGGCTTCTGCGTGGGGAGTCCGAGTTCGAAGCCCGGTTGCGCCATACTTATATGACCTCTGCAATCGCCGGTCCCCCATAAAAGGCATTCGAGAACGTGCGTCGCGTTCACAATCATAACGGTCTCAACCTGGGAACCTTTTGGTATAAATTCCAAAGGTATGTAGCGTAGACAGCTGTCAATTTACAGAGAATATTCATCTCCTTTGCCGCTTTGTGGCGTTTGCGCAGACATCCTTCTTCGATCAAAATATTCCATCATCACGGTTAAGCTTTCTTCATTTTCTAGAAGAATAGCACAAACTTGAAACCTCCACATCTGTACAGACGTGTCTGGTTTCTGCGTCCGGTTTTTGGGGCGGCAGCCGAATCCACCTGGAATAAGTTCAGCACCACAAGCATGCCGGCAGACCACCACTATACTGACCTCAGAGGCGCCGTCCTCCGCGGTGACTTCTTCCTCCGCCGTCAGCAGCGGCAGGCGCGAGTACCTCCTGTCGAAGACGCACGTGTGCAGCTGCGAGTCCAGCAGGCGCAGGTGGTCCAGGCTGCGCATGACGACCCAGTGGCGGCCGAGCGAAGCCACGCGGAGAGCCAGACAGTCGGCCCATTCGGCGGTCTGGTCCTGGCCGCGGCACGAGACGCCCGGCTCGCCGTCATGCAGCTGGACCTGCCGCCGATCGGGGTCGGGGTTCAGCGGTATGCGGTAGGACACGGTATGCGTACATTTGTAGTTCGGTAGTACGTCGTGCACCTATGTGAACGGTCTAAAAGGTGGACAGAAATGTAATTGCACGAACACCTTGCTACATTTTAATTAAAATCAGGGGCTTGCGCCCGCACATTATTGGCGAACATACAAACAGTGGTTGTGGGCTGGGTAGCGGTGTCACGCTGGGCTCTGGGTGTTACCAGGGCGTATTCTGCTTAGACCGGCAAATTTGATACCGCTGGGGCCCGTAGTTGGGTACTGGGTGTTACCAGGGCGTATTCTGCTTAGAACGGCAAATTTGATACCCCCGGGCCCGTAACTGGGTACTGGGTGTTACCAGGGCGTATTCTCCTTAGAACGGCAAACTTGATACCGCTGGGCTCCTTAGCCAGGTAAATAGGATGGCGCACGAGCTTGCGGTTGAGCCCCGGTCTCAGCATTGCAAGCCACGCGAGCACTGACCTCAACCTCGGACAGCTCCACGTGCTCATAGTGGAAGTGGGCGCATTGCACGAGAGGGTAGATGCGCGGATCGCCGCTGCCGGCGCCACCACACCCCTGTCCCGTGAAATGCTGAATCCGAACACTGCCACGAGATGTCGCTAGATCCGAAAACGCTGTGAGTCCGCTCTGAAACCAAGAGCTCACGGTGAACAGCATGCCATGGCACTGAGGCAAAGCACACCGTTGACAAGCACTCTGGTTGTTACACAGCCCAAATTTGAGAATTTACCCATGCATACGATATGCGTCGATGACACCGGCCATGCCCGCTTGCAACGCCGCCCCCTGCTCCACATCAGCTGACATGTCCCGATAACAGCACAGCCCTCCCACATTCCAGGCACGCCGCTACACAGTCACTGCTCCGGGTCAGGCGGGTAGCAGCAGCAACACGGCCAGCATTTTCTGCCACTTCGCTTCCAAACTGCGTCACATGCTGGGCAGGTGGCAGCACAGTCGAACCCACAGTCAAGCCGTAAAGTCATTCCAGGTCGACATCATCCGATACGAGCTCGTAAACTGAGCCGGCTGCTCTTAACGTCCGGGCTCCCGAGGCATAAAGCGGCCTGACTGTCGGCGTGTTTCAGCACGGGTTGCTAATTGACGCATATAGTGCAATACTGCCAACAGAAATAGGAAGGCCTAAATGTAACCGCGAACACATCACTGCTTCAAATTGTTTTCTCAAATTTGATCACCTACCTCGCTACAACCACGAAGGCAGATGATAACCAGTGGCGAGACAACAGGGATATTACATTTAGACGTTGCTTCTGCATAGCTGGAGATCATATCAGCCCAGGCCCCAGTACGCCGCGATGCAATTTTTTTAACGTCTTGTCAGTTCCGTTTTGGTACACTGGTCTGCCAGACACCTTCGGCACACTCATCCATAGCGGTGGATGAGATCACTGGTTAAGGGCTTTAGCTGATGCGTTATGCAGGGCAGGCGACTGTGGTCTCGGCGACGAAGGCCAGCAGCACGGGCTTGCGACCGGGAAATCGGGCGCTCACCTGCGACGTGTAGGCGGGGTCGATACTGGACAGCTCCCGGGCCCGCCGCGGCTGAGTGCTGCCGTCGACGGAGTGATACGACATCAGCCCGGCCTGACCCGGCTCCGATGCCCTGCGGCCAACGGTCGGGTCAGCGCGCAGGCGCGTCGGGTCACGCGCGCAGCGGATCGATGTGGCGTCAGAGCGACCGCTTCCGGCAGCAGCGGCCGGCCGCGGCCCGACACTAGGCGAGGCGCTGGGCGGACTCCTGCTGCGGGGGGTGGCAGGTGGCGAGCGGTATTCCAACTCCCTGCGGTGCGACAGCTCCCCTGGCTTCCGCCTTGGAGCAGATTAACATGCGGTATGACATCCACGCTGTCGTCGGGCAGTTCAGGGCTGTGGCGCTTTCTGATTCGTTGCAGCGCGGCGGATTGATTAATCGATCGCAGCACAATACTCTTGACGGGTTGATGAGTCGTGTTCTAAGAAATGTCAGCCGCTAATACTAGCTGCTGAAAGTAACACTCTGGTACATCCTAGTGATATACAAGGAATACAACAACATAAATCGTGCATTTCCCCTGAAGCGAGGCCATCTGGCCCGCAGGTGAAAACTTCTGTTCATTGCGAATATCAAGGTCAATTTAAATATCAATACACATGCCAATGCACGAGAAATTTGGTAACGGTATAGAGCACATGCCCCTGGAGGTTACAATATGCGTATGGGCCTGTCTCCAAGGGATCGAGAGCCGTCACCAGGCACGTCTCGGTACGTCGGAGCACGTCTCCCGGGGCCGTCATCAGGCACGTCTCGGTACGTCGGAGCACGTCTCCCGGAGCCGTCACCAGGCACGTCTCGGTACGTCGGAGCACGTCTCCCGGGGCCGTCACCAGGCACGTCTCGGTACGTCGGAGCACCTCTCCCGGGGCCGTCACCAGGCACGTCTCGGTACGTCGGAGCACCTCTCCCGGGCCGTCACCAGGCACGTCTCGGTACGTCGGAGCACGTCTCCCGGGGCCGTCACCAGGCACGTCTCGGTACGTCGGAGCACGTCTCCCGGGGCCGTCACCAGGCACGTCTCGGTACGTCAGAGCACGTCTCCCGGGGCCGTCACCAGGCACGTCTTGGTACGTCGGAGCACGTCTCCCGGGGCCGTCACCAGGCACGTCTCGGTACGTCGGAGCACGTCTCCCGGGGCCGTGACCGGGCACGTCTCGGTACGTCGGAGCACGTCTCCCGGGGCCGTGACCGGGCACGTCTCGGTACGTCGGAGCACGTCTCCCGGGGCCGTCACCAGGCACGTCTCGGTACGTCAGAGCACCTCCCCCGGGCCGTGACCGGCACGTCTTGGTACGTCGGAGCACCTCCCCCGGGCCGTGACCGGGCACGTCTCGGTACGTCGGAGCACCTCTCCCGGGGCCGTGACCGGGCACGTCTCGGTACGTCCGAGCACCTCTCCCGGGGCCGTGACCGGGCACGTCTCGGTACGTCCGAGCACCTCTCCCGGGGCCGTGACCGGGCACGTCTCGGTACGTCGGAGCACGTCTCCCGGGGCCGTGGCCCGAGCACCGCCTCGGGCTTCAGCCGGCGTGGCGGCCTTGAGCCGGTGCTGCGAGGTGAGCAGTAGGCTGGTTAGTTCCCACATGTGACTGCAGGCATGGTGAGTCACGGCCAGCCAGCGGCGCAGTGTCCGAACCCCCCTGGAGGAGGAGGGGGGGGGGGCTGGGCGGTGCGAGCAGGGCGCAGATGACGGAAGCCCGTTGATGGACGAGCTGCACCCCGGCAATGGCCAGCATTGCCAAACTGATGGAGGTGACCACTGCCCGGTCAAAAGGCGTAGTGCTAGGCATCCAATGCCAAATGGCACACATCCACACCATATCACTGGCTTCACTTTGCAAGGCGGTTAAAACATTCAGGAATGGTACCAACACATGACGTCAATTAAAACCAGAGGCTCAAAACCAGAGGCTAAAACAATTGTAAATATTTACTAAAACTGGGGCGAAAACTTTGTATTGGCCTTTCAGGCCACTGCATGCCTTGTATTGACCTTCAAACAATTGCATGCCCTTGTATTGACCTTCAGGCTATTGCATGCCTGCAGCTCGCTGCAAACGTAAGCCAAAATTGAATCGAGAGACTCAGTATTGACCTATTAGGTCTGTGCTAGGGCAAATGGCCCCAGCAAGCCAAGCGTATTACAAAAGAATATAATTAAAAAGAAAACTCCCGAAAAGGATGGCGGAACTGCCAAAACCCAGACGTACCGTCACCGCCTCGCCGATGAGGCCTCGGCACCGCACATCACGTCGCACGCGACACCGGCTCAGGGAACGCGGACGCGACACTGCGCCGTCGGACGTCGTCGTCGGCGCGGCCTGCCACCGCCGCCCGGCCGGCCGCGTGCGACTGTGGGCCGGCGCTGGCAGGCCCGCCGCCGCCCCGCCCCGCCCCGCCCCGCCGCCGGCCTGTGTCCGGGCTCTGCCAGCAGCGGCCGCCCTGGCAGCCGCGTCGTTTCCGATGAACCCGCACTCGCGTCCCAACTCGTCGCCGCCGTCGACAGACGTGAGGTCCCGGCGGCGACCGTACGTCCCAACGGGTGTGCCCCTCCCCATCCGAGCTGCGGCTCACCGACGTCGGCGGAAGTTCCCGCCGCCGGCGTCGGCGGGCCGGAGCGTGACGGCATGCAGAGGTCACCATCCCGGGGTCACGGCCGCGGCCCCACCCTCTGATGAGGTCTCAGCCAGGCCCGTCAGCGGTCAGCAGAGCCGCGGGACCTACCGCCCGTGACGTCACCTCGTCACGGTCTCCGGGAGGTCCGGCTGCGGCGCCTCCGGAGGCTGCCGGCGCTCGGATCCTGTCGGTGTCGGGTACCGGCCACGCCGAATCACGGCGGGCTGAAGCCAGGCGCTGGCAACGCGCGCGCGCCGCCCAGCTACTCACGGTGCGGTGCTCGTGCGCAATGCAGGGGAGCGAAGCGGAACGACCGGACCGCGCTGGACCGGGGTACGACGGCGGTCCGCGCCGAGCCGAATACACGGCTATCACCTAGCGGAGAACACAGCGCCTTTTGTTGAGTGGGCCGTGGGGCCGTCAGAGAAAACACCCCATATTCCTGCTGGCTCCCTTAACTCACTTAACGCTAATGCCAGACCGCGACAGACGGCGCTGGCAACCGCGCATAAAACTCGCATAACGCGTCATCATTCGCGGCTGCACGCTGTGAGACGAACCGACGGCCGGAAGCGTCGACATCTACCGTGCCAGACTGAAACTAATAGTTCCATATTCGCTCCCTCTGACGGCAGGCGGGCAGACGCAGACGCCTGGGACAAGGGAGAAGCAGATGCGCCGCCGCTGCACGCGTTCCGCTGTCAAAACATTACAGCGGGTCGCCTGGAGCTCGGATTGCTCTGGCGCCAAAACAGCCCAGTAACTAACGTAACTAACGCGTCGCTCCGACATGCCTGTGATGTTTGCGGGAGACCGCAATCTGTGTGTTTAACGGGCCTGCAAAACAGCTCAGCCCACAGAAAGCAACCAATGGCAAGCCGGTCGGTCCTTTTGAGCGGCGAACGGAGGCATCTGACGCCGGGCAGAAACAGAGCGGAGGCTCCTGGTCGTCGACCCGCGCGGGAACGGCGCTAACGTCACTGCCACAGTGATCCCTGGCGTGAGGGCGCACGTCAAAGAGAGTGTGCACACAGAGTAGCTGCCGGCCCCCCTTACTAAATTCATGGTGCTTTAATAGGTACGTCTGCGGACCAAATGCAAGACCTTATAAGCTTATTTTTGGCCATTCTGTGTCTTTGACGTCATATGATGGGTCTTCTCAAACTAAAGTCCGTAATTTTAACTTTTAGCTGAAATTTTCGCAAGCTTTTAGCTAAAGAAAAGGCTTCAACTGATGGTTTAAATAACTGAATTCAGCACGAGAAGACAAATCAAGCGATTTCAAACACTCATAATGGCCAAAAATGAGCGTATTGGGTTCTGCCTTTGGACGGCAGGCGTGACTAAGTGATGACAGCTGACAGTTCCAGGAGGACACGTAAAATGAGAACATCGAGAGCATGCAATGTTGCACGACACGCAAGACATTGCACGCACCTACCGCGCGCCAAATTCGCTTTGCAGGGATTTTTTTGCTTGCTATACATCCTGTCTTCACGTCGTGGACGTCAAACGTCAAATGCGACAAATGCGACAAAGGTTTCAAAAATGTGCTTCAACTGAAAAATGAAACGTCTGCGTGCAACGAAAAACACAAGAACGGAGAGGTGTATGCTTTCTTTCGAACCGCCATTCAACATCAATTGGGTGACTTAGTGTGAGCGGTCTTAAGTAAACTTAACAAAGGTACCCGAACAAGGAAAAATAATCAGTTTGGTGCAGCCAGGCCCAGCTCGGCCATCACAACTTCTACACACTTATTTAGGGTGAGCACTTCCGTTTTCAACAAATTTAATCTGTTATTGTTTACGCAAACACATTGCTTCGACAGGATTTTTTCCGTCGTGTCTAGCCTCCACGCAAAAAAAAAATCCGGCGCTGCTTCCGACGTTAGTCAGCTCGGCGACTTCATCTAAACCAAAACTCGGTCCGAGACTTGGTGGCGAAGTTTACGTTGAAACATCTCAAACAAGCCCAAGTCATGGACAGCACGTGCCATCACTTGGGAATCCCAAGCGCCCCGAGTCATGCACGTTACATCGGCCTCACCCGAGGGAAGGGGGAGGAGGCCGAAGGAAGGAGGAGGGGCCAAAGGAAGGAGGAGGGGGCCGAAGGAGGAGGAGGGGGCCGAAGGAAGGAGGAGGGGGCCGCAGGAAGGAGGAGGGGGCCGAAGGAATGAGACGTAACCTAACGCGTGCCGCAAAGTGCACAGTTGGGACGTTCAACCGTTTGCTGGCCCGTACATTCGGGATTAGCCGAAGCTCTGGGCTCGAAATTCTAGCAGAAGAGGACATCAAGTGCGAGAGTGAACGTCCCACACGTAAGTACTAAGTAGTCAAGACGCAGGGGATGCTGATGGCTAAGTGCCAGCTGAGAACAAAATATAGTGATGGACAAAGCTCCAACGCTCCTTCATGAATGCTATAAGTAACACGCCCGCCGTCTAGGGTTTTTGTTCTGATCAGGTGGAGGCAACCCTGATAAGACAAGACTGTGACTACTGGAAAGGCTCCACGGAGACTTCTCGTAGGGGTCATGATCTACGGAAAGAGGGTATCGTGTCCGAAGACGGTGGTTACACCCGAAGCCAAGTGCCGTCAGGACGGTTTGCGGGAGCGACTAGTGCTCGACCTACGAGTCAGGGGTACGTCACAGTGGTGACCTTATCGAAACAGCCCCATTTGGGACAGACCAGCACAGAATGGCTGTATCCGTCAATAACGGACCACTCGTTCACAACACACAGCATCGAAAACAGTAATTATATTTATTGGGGAAATATATGAACATATATTCGCGACAAGGCCACGAATGAGTTTTTTCATATATTTCGGCTCGCGGCAGCAAGTGCGCCTGTGAAAAATATAGCTACCTAAAAATGGCATTTTCACAAGGTTATTCTAAGGTGATCCTAAAACAATGAACACGATATAAGACTGGGTGTTCAGCTAGGTGGTATTTTTTAGCATACATTTCGTCCTGCCTGGTCCAAATGTATTCACTTGAATAGCAGGCACGACTGGCAGGCCCGAAAAACTTGTGCGAAAAAAACTACGTCAATATCAAAATAAATGACAGCAATTGGTCTCTATACGACCTTACATACAAACATCGACCCCAGGGCAGCACGCATGCGAAGCAAAAATGGATGGAAAGCTTTCTGACCGGGCGAATATTCCCCTATCCAGGTATCTACCAGACGACAGACGAGCTCCACATTCTGGCTTCTAGTGATATGATGAATGCATCTGTCAGTCTGCACGCGACCCAGCACGGAGCTAGTGTGTCTCGCCCCGCACTGCCAGTCTGCATGCGACCCAGCACGGAGCTAGTGTGTCTCGCCCAGCACTGTGAGGCTCTCTAGTGATATGATGAATGCATCTGTCAGTCTGCATGCGACCCAGCACGGAGCTAGTGTGTCTCGCCCCGCACTGTCAGTCTGCATGCGACCCAGCACGGAGCTAGTGTGTCTCGCCCCGCACTGCCAGTCTGCACGCGACCCAGCACGGAGCTGGTGTGTCTCGCCCCGCACTGTGAGGCGCGACCCAGCACGGAGCTAGTGTGTCTCTCGCCCCGCACTGTCAGTCTGCACGTGACCCAGCACGGAGCTAGTGTGTCTCGCCCCGCACTGTCAGTCTGCACGTGACCCAGCACGGAGCTAGTGTGTCTCGCCCCGCACTGTCAGTCTGCACGTGACCCAGCACGGAGCTAGTGTGTCTCGCCCCGCACTGTCGGTCTGCACGTGACCCAGCACGGAGCTAGTGTGTCTCGCTCCGCACTGTCAGTCTGCACGTGACCCAGCACGGAGCTAGTGTCTCGCCCCGCACTGTCAGTCTGCATGCGACCCAGCCCGGAGGTAGTGTGTCTCGCCCCGCACTGTCAGTCTGTACGTGACCCAGCACGGAGGTAGTGTGTCTCGCCCCGCACTGTCAGTCTGCATGCGACCCAGCCCGGAGGTAGTGTGTCTCGCCCCGCACTGTCAGTCTGCACGTGACCCAGCACGGAGGTAGTGTGTCTCGCCCCGCACTGTCAGTCTGCACGTGACCCAGCACGGAGGTAGTGTGTCTCTCCCCGCACTGTCAGTCTGCACGTGACCCAGCACGGAGGTAGTGTGTCTCGCCCCGCACTGTCAGTCTGCACGTGACCCAGCACGGAGGTAGTGTGTCTCGCCCCGCACTGTCAGTCCGCATGCGACCCAGCCCGGAGGTAGTGTGTCTCGCCCCGCACTGTCAGTCTGCACGTGACCCAGCACGGAGGTAGTGTGTCTCGCCCCGCACTGTCAGTCTGCATGCGACCCAGCACGGAGGTAGTGTGTCTCGCCCCGCACTGTCAGTCTGCACGTGACCCAGCCCGGAGGTAGTGTGTCTCGCCCCGCACTGTCAGTCTGCATGCGACCCAGCACGGAGCTAGTGTGTCTCGCCCCGCACTGTCAGTCTGCATGCGACCCAGCACGGAGCTAGTGTGTCTCGCCCCGCACTGTCAGTCTGCATGCGACCCAGCCCGGAGGTAGTGTGTCTCGCCCCGCACTGTCAGTCTGCATGCGACCCAGCACGGAGGTAGTGTGTCTCGCCCCGCACTGTCAGTCTGCATGCGACCCAGCCCGGAGCTAGTGTGTCTCGCCCCGCACTGTCAGTCTGCACGTGACCCAGCCCGGAGGTAGTGTGTCTCGCCCCGCACTGTCAGTCTGCATGCGACCCAGCACGGAGGTAGTGTGTCTCGCCCCGCACTGTCAGTCTGCATGCGACCCAGCACGGAGGTAGTGTGTCTCGCCCCGCACTGTCAGTCTGCATGCGACCCAGCACGGAGGTAGTGTGTCTCGCCCCGCACTGTGAGGCTCTCAAGTGGTCTGCACCTGTTGAGCTGCTTAACAAAGTGCTGGATGCCGAGACTTAGTCCCAGTAGCTCACAAGTAATGGGGAGACGGCACGAAAGAGCCTTGTGCTGAGACGGAATGTGACTGTGAGTATTTAATTAACGTTCTCCGACATAGCCACACACGCTGGGCAAATCATAAAAGTTGATGAAGGACTAACTTCAAATCTCGCACTGAGAGCTGTACGTGATTATACGGAAAGCCAAGCGTAGGAGAAGAAGAGCTCTACAATTTCACCGTCTTAGTAACATGCCCGTAGTAGCCACTTTTGGACTCGCAGCGATTTACACGACCAGCCTGTGGAGCAGGCAGGGAGCCCATGTGCGCCGGTGACTGACCCGATGGCGCCGGTGACTGATCCGATGGCGGCGGCGCTGCCCCCGACGCCGTCCCGACGCCGCATCACGAGCGAGCCGGGGCGCCACCAGCCCTGTGCCGCGGCCCGACGGCTGCGCGGCACCGTCGCCGACATCGCAGCGTGACGACTGCCGGCGGCCGTGTGCGCTGAAGGTCACGTGCTCCACCGCCGGCTCCGCTGAAACAATAGGCACTTCTGGAGGTACACTGGTGTCACCGGAAACAATGCGCGAGCGGGCCTCAGTTAGGGTATCAACTGGGGCGGCGGTAAAAAACGTTTTGGATGCCGCTGAAGGAAGGCAACTACTTTGAGACATTTTCCTGAGATAGCCCAAAACAGAAAGGAGAATGAGGTTTCCCAGGCACGCATGTCATCAGCTCGCTAAATAATTAGCTTGACAACTGCGTTATTGGCATTGTCTCGCTGAGCATGGCCGAGGACAACATTTACTATCAACAGATACGCGAGCAGTCTTTTTTTCGATAACTAGAGCCCTCCCCAAAATTGTGACGCCCATGTGGACGACCGGGCTCAAGTCCCAGCTGTGCCATGACCTTTCAACGTTCGGATGGCCGTCGCAGGCGCTGGCGCTCCATAGAAAGGTGCGAGGTGAGGACGCGGGTCGAGCACGCCACCGCCACGTCTGCGTTGTAATACGACACAGTTACCGTCCGATGAACTGCCTCTTTGTCACCCAAAGTACTACTGTCGCGAGACTGCAATGTTACAGGACGAGACGAGACCACTTTTTGTGATGTCTAACACTCACATCGATGGATATCGGCTAGGGCCCCAGTACCCTGACGGTGTACCAAACCGCGCTGTATTGCGTGGATCGGCGGGCGGGTGTGCTATATTTGCATCCGTGCGCGTGTGGGCTCGGGTCAATCAAGATGTTTGGCTCCTCAGGTCACCCGGAAACATGGGTGGTGCACTGGAAAAGTATTCGGGGGGAGGAGCACATGGTGAAATGTGATTCACTAATACTATCTGTATACTGCAATGCGCGCTGGTAATACGGAGCCTCTCGGGCAAAGACTTCGCCCTTGGCTTAGCTCCAATTACAAAGGCCGCGTGATCTCGCCTCAGCCGAATGCTCTCAGCCTCAGCCGAATGCTCTCAGCCTCAGCCGAATGCTCTCAGCCTCAGACGAGTGCTATCAGCCTTTTGTGATTTCGCTGGCTCCGCGTAGGGAGTGCCCCGTCACAGACAAGTAATGCTCACGGGTAGTTTTGTGTGTTTGTTCTTGGCGTTGTCTTTGTTTTTGTTTTGTTTTGTTTTGTTTTTTTGGTGAAGCATGACTGAGTTGATCTCGGCCAGTGCTTTTATCATTTGCGGATACCTGTTGCAATAAAAATATGCCTCAGGGGCACAGTTTCACAAAATGAGTCGGGGGAGGGGACTGGACAGTGAACAATTACCCAACCTACCACAAGATATGCCAACAAATAAGTTTCTCCCCAGATTTGGTCCACTTTTTCCCAAAGCTGCCGGAGGGGGGTGGCTGGAGCGCAAGTTTGCGGGACCTCACCTCCCGCGCCCAGCTGAACAGGAAATTGAACCCTTGATGTGTCCTATGTTCAATGGAATGTTCTTCAGTTGAGGATATTGGAGCAAACATCAGATATGATGAGACGAGTTCATTTAATTTTAAGTGGGAAAGACTGCTCTAGACAGCACAATTCTTGGTTCAGAAAATATGCTCCTCAATGCGTCATAGTTTGATTGCGTCATCGCACCCTGCACAATAATGATAAAGAACAAATTGACGGCATCATATCTGGAAATCGCGCACACAAACGCCAGTTATGAACACCTCGACAACTATATTTTTCTTGACCTTGATCGCCGCGTGGCTCATAGAATAGCAGGATTTGAATGACGTTATTATAACGTCGGGAATGCCAAGATGTCTTTGAAATACTCTCCCCGATACACTTCTTCCCATCTTCGTGAGCGTGTGCCTCAGAAACTAGAGGGGCTCAGGCATTAAGAAGGGCAGGATTGTGAATAACACCGAAAGGTCTTCAAGATGGCCATTTCAGTTCAACATCCCATAAAAATGTGGAACACTATCTTTAAACAAATGGAGGGTATGGCTGCTCCAGACATCTGGTGGCACAGATGCTTTCTACATTCTTAGCAAAGTTTAGCAAGTGTAACCCTTTCACGTTTAGTTGCAAAATGGGTGTCAAGAAAGACAAGTTTTGTCATCATTCAGCTTTAGCCCGACCCGTCGCTCCCAATCAACTGCACTCACTGACTTGGTTGTTCTTATTAAGTTATTTTCTTTAAAATAAACAAGCTGCCGTGGCCAACGCTCAGCTTTCAAAATGAGGTAGGTGCAGTTTAAATTCCATCTTTTTCTAAGAATTGCTGCCTATCTCAGTGTCTTACAACTAATCGTGCATGCCTCGTTTGTGGATGGACTACTTGTTCGAACTTCTGCCCTCGTCTGGTGTGATATTGTTCTAGTGTGTTCAGGCGATACTCGGAACAATTATTCCATCAGTAATACTAATGTCTCGTCTCAATCCGTACATAAGGCTACAACGCCTCTTTCTTTATGAGCGGTGCGAACAATATAGAACGCATTGAAATAGATCACGTAGCGCTTCAGTTCAGTTCCGCCCTGCAAGTCACACGCGTCAGCGCGTCGTTTTCAGCGCACACAGTTGTCTGGGCGAACATTTCGAGAATTCGTTGAGTGCACGTAACAGACACCACGCTTGTGCTGGTAAGTCAATTCGTCACAAAAACGCACGCCTCGGGTTGTAGTGGTTAGCAGTGCCCTGGTTGTGCAATCGCAGGCGTCTCCTTAGCTGGCGCTAACGGGATACACCCCAGAGGCGTGCATATAAGGCGGCTATTTGTTGCAGCGGTTATGCGGTCGATGCCTGGCAGTCCCGTGTGGCAGGAGCAAAAAAAAAAGTTCTGCATGATTGCCCATTGGAATGAAGTCACTACCGCGTTCAGTGAATTTTATCGCCATTCTGACCTGGCCGCCGCTATCCGATAGTAAGTATTGGCACGGCTCAAAAGGCACAACTCAAAAGGCATGGTCCAAAACGCACGGCTCAAAGGCAGAAAATCCGTGGTTTTTACTGGGGTGGCACTGACCTACTACACAACGACACAGACAACTTATGCGTAAACGTATGGCGTATGCTTGTGCTATGGCACCTTCCCGAAACTGTGCTGTTGTCGTGCCACTATCACCTGGGGTTTCAACTGGTGCCACCTGATCCAGTTCCGACACGTTTTTGGATGATTCCCCGAAAGTTCAAGGTGTGAAATGCTCTCATTTCCTAAATCAACACCAAGGCAAATGCAATGGCCTCGGTGCAGTAGCAACAGCTCCGCCCGTGCAGCAAGAGGCCGGGCACACCCCATGGTCACGTCACGCTGGCCCACGGCATCACGATCGTGTGCGCGCACAACGTCACGCACATTTCCTGCCGGTGGGACCGCGACACATCCGGTGACGGAAACGGTTGCTGATAGCGGCGGCAGCTGTGTCCGAACAGATATGCGTGCCCGGCCGCCAGGCTTGACCATGCCGGCTCGCAGGGGAACAGCGGAACTGCCGGACGCCTCGACGCTGGGGTCCATGGATGACACACTGCTAGGAGCTGGTGCGATAACAAAATGGAAGCCAATGTCTGATGGATATTGCTGTTAGTGTGTGATAGAACGCAATGATTGACGCCTGCGAAAATGAGGGAATAAAAATGGAATGCACGTAGGAAAAATATCAAATCAAGAGCAAGAAATGGACGATTTCCTCATCATTGGGCATTTGACAGGACCAGTATTTAAAGGCCTTCGAACAATGCCACAAGCTCACAGTGTATGCCTCCAGGACTCCGTGATCCGACCTCGGAGTCTAGGCACGTGTCGGCTCCCATGTGGCGTGCTCGCCACAAGACTTTGGCGAGCCCCGACGCCATGCTGGCTTGGTGACGCGGCCGTCAGTCACACAGGTCACCGCGGTGCGTCCCTCCCGACCCGAAACAGCCAGTCTGCATCTGCGATCTACCGCGCAAGCTTGCCGGGTCTGCGGGCGGACCACTCGGGCCCGCTGGCGCCTCACACACTGAACAACGGACGGCGATGTACGTACATGCACGTAATGTACGCACAGTGTACGTACACCGAGCTCGCCACGTCAGCGAACGTGGGAAGCCCCCGCGCCGGCCGACCACAAACGGATGGTGACACGCCGCATGTGCCCGCCTGCCGATAGCAGGGAGTTGGTGGAAACGTGTCACGTTGTTGTCAGCAAACAGCGCTTCAGTAAAATGAGAGACGAGATTGACTGACCCCATCCATGCTCAGTAACAACGCTTCGATAGTATGAGAGAAGAGATTAGCTGGTCCAGTCCATACTCGCTAACAACGCTTCTACAATGTGAGAGATAAGGTTGGCTGGCCCAGTCCACGCTCGGTAAAAACGCTTCGACAATATGAGAAAGAGATCAGCTGGCCCATTACATGCTCGGTAACAAAGCTTCGACAATATGAGAGAAGAGGTTAGCTGGCCCGTTCATGTTCAGTAACAACGCCTCGGCATGATGAGAGACGAGATTGGCTGACCCCGTCCATGCTCATAACAACGCCTCGACAGTATCAGAGAAGAGATTAGCTAGCCCAATCCATGCTCGGACGCAACGCTTCGACAATATGAGGGAAGAAATTGACTGGCCCAGTCCATGCTCCGTAACAAAGCTTTCACAACATGAGAGAAGAGGTTAACTGGCTCAGTTCACGCTCGGTAACAACGCTTCGACAATATGAGAGAATAAATTATGTGACCCAGTTCATGCTCGGTAACAACGCTTCGACAATATGGGAGAAGAGATTAGCTGGCCCAGTTCATGCTCGGTAACAACGCCTCGATAATATGAGAGAAGAGATTAAGTGGCCCAGTTCATGCTCGGTAACAACGCTTCGGCAATATGAGAGAAGAGATTAGCTGAACCGTTCATGCTCAGTAACAACGCTTTGGCAAGACGAGAGACGAGATTGGTTGACCCCGTCCATGTTCAGTAGCAACGCTTCGACATTATGAGAGAAGAGATAAACTGGCCCAGTTCATGCCCGGCAACAACGTTTCGACAATATGAGAGAGGAGATTAACTGGCCCAGTCCATGCTCGGTAACAACGCTTCGCCAAGATGAGAAAAGAGGTTAGCTGGCCCGTTCATGCTCAGAAACAACGCTTCCCCAAGCTGAGAGAAGAGATTAGCTAGCCCCGTCTGAGCTCAGTAACAACGCTTCGCCAAGATGAGGGAAGAGATTAGCTAGCCCCGTCTGAGCTCAGTAACAACGCTTCCCCAAGATGAGGGAAAAAGTTTGCTGGGCCCATTGATACTCAGTAGCAACGCTTCGGCAATATGAGAGAAGAGATTAGCTGACTCCATCCATGCTCAGTAAAACCAATTTTCGACAGCAGATTAGGCCGCCGTAATGCGGACAACTTGCCTCCAAATATGCCACTAATGTGATAGGCTGGAAAACATGACAGCGCTTCTGGTCCACTCACGGTTCCCAGTCCTGGGTGGTTTCGGTGCAGCTGACCGTGTTACAGCTCTGGAATGCTTTGATAAACACCCATGCCCCAGCATTCAGATACCTGAAGCTAAGGGAGCTTGTTATACATGTCACGCAATGTACATTACCATGACGCACAGCACGCTGCTGTCACGCGTGCGTTGACGCATTAAGCACCGGTGTGACGTACAAACATAAGTTCGTATCGATTGGCAGTGTTCAGATGTAATGTGGAGCGCGAAGTATTCCAAACGGCGATGCTATAAGATCAGAAGGTGAAAAGAAATGAGCCTGATTACCCACAATCGAATCCGTAATGATCAAACATATGACATACTTGCAGATGATTTGCGCCACAGACGCGTTCGATGCCGACCTCCAAACGGAAACTCTACGTGCTGAATGAAAACATTCCTGGTTCCTCGCTCGTGGCCAATATCTTTCACTACGTGCCACGGATTTAAGCACATATCGTTCTCCCGAGAGCGTGCGGTTTCTCTCCGCTTCTCCCAGTAAATCTGTGAGAACCTTAAGCATTACTTGCCGAAGCGTGTCTCACCCACAGCGCCCCCGTTGGTTAAGCGTTCGCCGATTTAGTTGAGGATTGTGACTCCACACGGCCAGATCCGTGGACGCTCACAAACATGCTGCACATGTCTGCAACGGACCCCGAGTGGGAAGCCAGCAAACGCACCGGGCTGGTGATTGGGCCGTTACGGGTGGGAGATGACCCGGCACACCCGCCAACCGACAGGTATCTCGCCGGAGGGAAATCATGTGCCGGCCAAAGAACAGGGGGAACGGTGCGGCGTTATGTTCTATATCGAACCTGGGAACGGAGTGGCTATCTGGGAACGGGGTGGCTACCTGGGAACGGGATGGCTACCTGGGAACGGGGTGGCCTGTAAGTGAAGAGAAGCAGGGGACAGGGCATGGATGGGGGCAGCATGTGAGACACGCGACACAATTCATGTGAGGGACTAGGCAACACAACACGCAACGGAGGTAACATTGCAGTTTGGAGGCAAAGAGGTGGTTGGTGAATGTATGCTTACCGTGGAAATGGAACAGTTGGAACATGGCATAAGACCCAAGTAAAAGAATTTGTACCCGTGTGTGCATGAATAATCTACTTATAAAATGTGCAATTCGGTGCGCCTGGTCCAAATACACGATTACCAAAATATACATGACGGGACAGGCAATTTGCTTGAAGCCGCACTTGTGGTATAGTTTAAAAGTTGCTACATTTTAGGCAAGACACTGCCCGCCACGAGATATGACCTTGAGAAGTTGAGGCATCAACATTTTGAGCTGTTCATGGAGGTCCTTCTCGTGCATACTGTTGCTCAGAGGACATGTGCGTACACGCGTCCGGTAGGTGAATACACTGCAGTGCAGATGTCATCTGAAACAATCGGCGCGGATGGCGGAGCCACCTGCCGGCATAAAACGCCTCAGGGGTCTGAAACTAACTCCCAAAATGCCCATCGTTGAAGGATGCCGTTGGCGAACCAAAAAAGGGTCGACAACGACAGAGCGGTAGAGCCGAGTGTGCTGCAACATTTCAGAGAGCCAATACATTACTGCCTTTATTGAAAGCACCAATAGAACGTCATAGGTTTCCGTGTGGCAGCGAACACTGCCAAGACTTATGACCGCAGAAACATCGGATGCGTATAATGGTAAAGAAGGGCCAGGAATGGACGGCGCAGATTTCTAAGAATTTTGTGGATTTTTTCGTCGTGCTTATTCCTGTAAGACAAATATCGGTGAATGGGGATACGGGACGTTCCAGCGTGGTGATATTTGGTTCGTATCAGGGGTGTGGTTTCGTTTCAAGCGGATGGCTCCAGTCTCCGCCCACCTTTAGAAGATAGAGGGTCAAAGCCGAGGAGAACGCAGTTTTGTTTTACTATTTTGAGGAACGGTTAAGCGTGTCTCACTACTCACCCCCCCCCCCCCCTCAACTTATTTGGCGAAACCGAACCCTTAGTTTCTGCTTTCAACTCAATGAATTCAATGCACCAGAATTACAGTTTTGAGGCATTGGTTAGTGGTGTTCACTTTGTATACTTTCCTGGGCCTGAGCCACAATGCTGATTTGAGCCTCATTAACGCTCTTCTGAGCCTCCTCCAAGCCCTCAACGCATATGAGCAAAAGGAAATACTAGCTCACGAGATGCAGTGTCAGAGCTGCTAAATGTATCACCACCAATATCGCCATCATATTATTTAATCATCATCACGATCACATCGACTTCATATGGGAAGTCATTCCTTAACATCGAAACAAGTTCGGGACCAGCCAGTTACATTCTTCACTATATGTTGACTCCAGGAACCCAGATCAAAGTGGCAGAAATCCAAGGAGAAATGAGGATTTGGCGCAGGTTAGGTCGACTTTATCGGCTCCCCAATTGATTTTAAAAGGTGACATCTCTGACATTAGTGATTAAAACTGCTTTGAAAAATCTCAGGCCACGCAGACAGAAGTGTTTTGATCGGACCGAGGATAGTTACCCCTGCAGTGCCTGGCTTACCTGGATGTCCTCGGTTCACTTCCGTACGGTCTCCTCACGCCCGAGAGGGCGAGTTCACGTCAAGCAGTCCAAACAGTCCGGCCAGTGCCCCACTACGCCAGTACCAACCGCAGCTTCGTGCTGCTCCTCTCCACGGCACCGCTCTCACGGCCCTGCCGCCGCCCCTCTGCAGCGCCGCCACCCCATCACCCCCCGCCGCGCGCTCGGTCGTGCCGCCGTCCCGGGCGGGCGGCGTACGATGGTGCGCAGCGTCACAGCCGGAGGGGCAACCCTCGGGGGAGGGGCGCCGGCGGCGTCCGCGCCACCGGGTGGCGCTGCAGGCGGTCTCGTGGCGAGGCGGCGCCGGTCGGGCGCCGGCGATAACAGGCGGATGAGGGAGGAGGGGAGGGGCGAAAAGCCTGTCGGCTTCCGGATGCATGCGGCGCCACTATCATGCATAGCGCTTGTGGGGAGTGGTGACCAATGGAACCCATGCTGGAATGAGGAGCTTGCGAAGATTTCACGCCCGGTCTTTTCCGCTTTGTGGTGTTGACCATCCTGGTAATCACTGCTAGGCCTAGATGGGTCAACTTTTTTGGACAGAGATGTGAAAACATCAGGCACGTGTCAGATCCGTGATTCTGGTAAAATGAGCGCTTTATCTTTATTTTCTACAAATACGTCTCCAATACCGTAGATGACTGCAGTTGTCATGTGCGATTCACGCGTTAAGGAATGTGTAAAAAAGGCTGAGGAAAGCAGCCCTGCTTTCATTTGGAACACAGAATAGAGCCTCCTGTCTTCCACGTTATGACCGTACCCATCATGACCAAGGCCATGGACCCGGACCTGAACACCTGCCGTGACGTTCAAAAACCTCCCACAATCCCAGGGAGGGCCAGAACCACGGACCCGGACCTGAACACTTGTCGTGACGCTCAAGAACCTCCCACAATCCCAGGGAGGGCCAGAAGACATGCCTGTCCACGTGGTAGCCCGGCGGCGCCAGCCCTACGAGGGCGTAACCATCCTGTCACAAGGTGCGAGAGAAAAGAGAAGGCACACTTCATGTGCACGCGGGACCGGCGAAAAAGTGGAGATTGTATCCGATCGCACCCACCCAACTACGTTCGACGACCTAAAAGCCGAGACAAGGAGAGGGAATAATTTTTAAACAGCCCTTTCCATGCAGACGAGGTATACTGCAACGCCCCATTCAATATTTGTATTTGAAACAAGCACTTTGTTTATTAAAGCTCCGTGCCCCCAGGCGTATATTTTTGTCCAGCGTCTCTTCACACTGATTGGGGGCCATTAAGATGTGTCAGACAAGGTGTGGTGTAGCAAAATCGGAGGACCTGGACAGCGAGTTCCACTGAGACGCGTGTGACGCAAGTACTTCTTCTCAATAGCCCGCACTCCACATCCAGGAACAATGTTAAGCATCAGGTGAGAGACAATGCGAATGACACAAGAAAGCAAGGGCGTTGTTGGGGTAGGCCCTGATAATCTAAAGAAGCCACGGAGCATGTCAAAACCAGCGTATATCATATGCGTTTATTGGGGTGCGCGTAACGATGAAAAATGATAACAGGAGCCATTTGTTGGTAGCGTGCATCGAAAAGCACTCCCACTGCGGGCACGATGTTAACCGTACAAAAATACCGGCTGCCAATGGCGGGGCGACCACCGCACACTCCAGCCAGGCGGACGTCAATAAAATAAATACACCTTGTCCGCAGGCCGACTTCGCACGTAAAACATCCCACCGGAAAACAGGGGGATGGCGATGTCCCTGGCGCCCCTGCAAATATCTCCCGCCCAGGAGATGGGTCGGGGGGCGGCAGACGGGGTGGATTCAATGGCACAAGATGATGCTTACAAAAATACAAATGCCACGTGAGATAGTGGGACAGTCTGCACTCCTCATGACAACATGAAGAGCAAGTTGTGGCAACAGTATCCTACGTCAGGAAAGACTCTTAGAGAGGAGCGAATTCTCGCCTCTATGAGGCGGGACATTTGTATCTGGGTGGACCCCGCCAGAGGCGCTGTCGGCGCGCGGAGGTCAGCAGCCAAAGAAATCGTCGAAAATACTCAGTATTTCAGCATAGACAGTTTGGTTTGCAGCTTAAATATTGACGGCACGTTCGCCACCGGCCATGCTGGTCGGGCACAGTCCCACACAGCAGAGGCTGGCGCGTCCTTAACAACCGTGACTGGGAGAAAATGCATTCACGGCACGTGAGCAACTGAGAAAACGCGCCGGCCCACCCAGCCGCTGCCTCCTAGTCCACATTTTGATTGCGTAATGGGCGGCCGCTGTGGGGAAGACGGCAGCAGCAGAAAGACGGATATGTCGAAGAGAACCAGCCACAGCCTGGCGACGCCATTACACTTGGGGCGGCACGTCGCCGGCACGCGGCGACAGAAGCTCAGAACGACGGCACCAACAACCGGACGCCACGCAGTCCAGCACGCCCAGCACACAACACGAAACAACAGGCGCCGCTGAGCACCGCGAGCTCGGGGCGGCCGCGCGGCCCGGCCCAACGGGGCATTTACGCAGCACACACTACCAACGCAGCGCCCGGGGCTGCTCCAACACAGTAACAACGGGTGGCGGCGCCCGCCGTGACACGGCGCGGTCCGTGCGCCCTTCAGCGGGGGCGCCGGACGCCCGTCAGCGGAGGCGCTGGACGCCGTGCGCCCGTCAGCGGGGGAACCGGACGCCGGACGCCGAGGGTCAGACCACGGCGCGGTTGTGCATCTCCTGCAGACGGCGCGTCGTCTCGCGAATGTAGTAGACCAGCTCCAGTAGCGAGCTGGTGGCGAGCAGGCCGCCCATCGTCCGGTCCAGCTCGGCGAAGAACTCGGCTGCGGCGGCCAACAGCTGGGGTTAGCGCGGGGTGCGGGGCTGAGGCTGAGGGCGGGTAATGGTCGGAGATGGTCTCGACTCGCAGTCATGATGGATTCAGCCAATCAGAAAGCGTGTCCGCCGATGAGCGCATAGGTCTCTTGGATCACCGTAATGGCTTATACGGTCCAACTTAACTCCGTAGCAGAGGTCGCAGATCACAGTTAAGATAAGATCAGTAACCTGCCCACGGCCTGGAGCCTCGGAATAAGTGACCAAGTCGGTCCAAGTGTGGTGCTCTGAAGTGGCCATGCTGTTATATAAGCTCTGGCTCATTGATCGCGGGACTAGGAGATGCCGCCGGCAGCGAGGGCAGAGCGGTGGGTATGTGCGGTATGTGGGCTACCTAAATCCATCCTAGACTGACTGGCCTTTTTCTGACCCCTTTCCCCCATTCGATCTGTGCCCTACCCACACCACGCTCACCAGCCCGAGCCGGCTCGCGCAGCCCCAGTGCTTCACTTCCGACCTCTCAGGGCTCGCCTGTGATCCATACACGGACATGAGACCTGTCTACCCTGCCCCGGGACTGACCTGTGCTCTGCCTACGCTGCCCGGGACTAACCTGTGCCCTGCCCACGCCACCGCGCGATTGACCTGTAACCTGCCCACGTTGCCCCGGGGGGTGACCTGTGTCCCTCCCACGCTGCCTCGAACGAGGCCGATGACCTGCCCACACTGCCCCGAGCGTGGCCTATGACCTGCCCACAGTGCCCAGTGACTGACCTGTGTCCTGGGCCATCTGCATCAACTCGTCGGCCTGCTCCCAGCAGTCAAGCCAGTTTTGCAGGTGTGTTTGTATCTCGTTACACCGCAGCATCAGCCGGAACAGGTCGATCGGCACCGAGCACGTCGGCTCATCAGCAGACAGCGGCTCCGAGAGCATCTGCGGCCGCACAACACCTGCAGTCAGCACCAGCGCGGGCACGCGCGCCTCTCGCGCTGTCCGACGCGGCGCGGTCACACGCCCCGCCATGCCGCTCCGTACCGCACGCCGACCCGGAATCATGCAGAAGTATGTCAGCTTTGCGCCGGTGTTGAGAGAAGCTTTATGAATTATGACCTCGGTGAAACTGCCGCCGGTGGTACGGCGCGACTGTACCCTATCACTGAAAAGGGTCGTACAAGCCGAAGTGCACTACCAAAGGCACAGGTAAAACATTGGTTAATATATCGCCTTTTCATATATATATATATATATATATATATATATATATATATATATATATATATATATATATGGAAGGAATATATAAATGGAACGCGGCTGAAGTAGTACTCCGAGTGTGACTAACGTTCCAGCAGCATTCCCAGTCATAAATCAACGCTGCAACTAAAACATAAATTCAGTTGAATGCGATAGCACTGACACATCCTCCCGGTCAGGAATTCAATGAGACGGGCGTGCCGCGGGATGAGGTAAGACGAGAGAGTGATGCCGACAGCCGAACCAGACAGCCGTCAGCGCGACATTGCAGCCACTCGGACGTGGTAACAAATGCCACCACATATGCGGGCGCTGGTCAAAAACACACCTGTCCTGATCCGTCAGCCCCGGAAGCACGGTGAGAAAAACAGCGATAATCGCCAATGGTATGCAGATATCAGCTGGGTCAGGTCAAACCAGAAGGTCAAGGGCGACAGGTCAACTGTCGAGGAACGCTCTTGAAAACGCCGACGACTCAGCCTTAGTAAGTCACCGCCGGCACCGCCATCGGCGCTCCGCCGCGGCCGCGCCGCCCACCTTGAACTCAGCGACTTGGCGCTGCGCCTTCTTGTGCTCCGCCTCACGCAGCTTGAACATACGCAAGTAGATGAGGCCCTGGCAGCGCAGCAGCAGCGTCTGCAGCTTGTGGTCGGTGTGCGTTGGACGCTTGCCCTGCTTGCGGTAGGTGGCGGCTGACAGGCGCAACATGTCCCTGGGAGAGGGGCGCGTCGGGTCAGCGGCCGTGGCGCTCCTGCGGCGGCGACGCAGAGGGTCAGACGAGAGGTCACGCGTGACGTCACCGCCGCGAGGGCCGCCGCCGCCGCCGCCGCCGTATCCCCGGCCGCATCAGCCCAGTCGCGCTCACGCCGCTAACGGAGGGTGAGGGAGAGCGAGCGCGCGTTAGCTGCGGACCCCACCGGCAGGTGGCGAGCCTGAGCCTCTCATCCAATCTAAACATGGGTACGCCACCCTGGCAGCTGACGCCAGAGCTGAGCCGGACCGCATGTTCAGTTTGTACAGTCACAAGCCTCCAACCTGGACACAACCCCACCCGCTTGGCACGCATACGGCGCCATTTACGGAGCTAGTTGAGCGGACGGGGTAAGGGAGGGGCTGGCCATGGACGCGACTGAGCGACAGGGCTGATGCGGCCGAGCGGCGGCAGCCAGCTGACTGACTCACCCTGCGGTCCTGCGACAGAAGAGCGAAAACGTCATGCCAGACCAAAACCAGGTGCAGTCAGCCAAACAGACGCACGTGCTGACATCATTGCTAGGAACGTAACAAGGTGCCAACAGAAGTACCGCAAACCGCACGAATATACCATGAAAAGATGCAACACTAGAGAGTCTACCTCATTTTAAGACAGAAAAGCACGAGCGAAGCGAAAAGTGAAGACATCAAAGAGTCAAACAAGGCACCCACAGTTGAATGTCGAATGCAAGAAAGATACAAGGTGCGTGGTCCACACGCAACTGCAGGAAAGGGCACACGCGCACACACATGCACGCTCCCACTCAGACCGATGCAGCACCGCGTATCCAGGCGGGCACATGCTCACATGTGCACTCGCGACGATCTGCCTCTCACGGCAGGCAGCTGCTCGGTCAGGTCAGGTCAGGCCAGGTCAGAAGCTCGGTCAGGTCAGGTCAGGTCAGATCAGAAGCTCGGTCAGGTCAGGTCAGATCAGAAGTTCGGTCGGGTCAGGTCAGGTCAGATCAGGTCAGGTCAGATCAGAAGCTCGGTCAGGTCAGGCCAGATAAGAAGCTTGGTCAGGTCAGCCCAGATCAGAAGCTCGGTCAGGTCAGGCCAGGTCAGAAGCTCGGTCAGGTCAGGTCAAATCAGAAGCTTGGTCAGGTCAAATCAGGTCAGAAGCTTGGTCAGATCAGATCAGATCAGAAGCTCGGTCAGGACGGCCAGGTGGGGCAGGTCCCCGCACCCAACTCACTTGATGAGCTTCAGCGTATCATTCAACATGGCCGACATGGCGTCCGTGTCGTCCGAGTCCTTCTCCATGGACAGGGCCGTCAGCAGGAAGTAGATCACCGCCTGGGTGTACCTGTGGGGACAGTGGATGGTCACCGAACGGTCACCGGTCACCGAGCTCTCACCGAACGGTCACCGCCTGGGTGTACCTGCGGGGACAGCGGATCGTCACCGAACGGTCGCTGGCCACCGAACGGTCACTGGTCCCCGAACCCTCACCGAACGGTCACCGGTCACCGCACCGTTCCCGAAAGGTCAGTCTTCAGACCAGCGCGCCACGCCACGCTACGGAACGGCACAGACGTGCTAACCACGCTCTATCACGTAATAACTTCTATTACTGAGTGAAGTTCTTAGGCCAGCCAAACACGAAATTCGGGGACAATCCAAGCCGACGTGGCGCACCAACGGCTCCGTTGGGCGCAAGGAAATCGGTTGGCAGCGCGACGTTCAGGTGCCTCTCCTTGATGAAAGTGAAGGTGACAGACGATGCTCTCAAGCATTTCGTCGCAAAAAAATCAGCATAGGTTTCTAGAAAGTCTCTCAAGCCCTGGAAATAAGAAACTGGGAAAATCCGTTTCAAAAGCCAAATTTTGTTCCGGCAAAACACTCCTGCGCCGCAAACCTCCGCGCGTGCTACGAAACGCCCGCCCCCTATCTGCCTGCTGACAGCGGTAGTGGCCTCGCACCGTCCGCGACCCGCTCCCGCAGAGCCTCAGCCGCTACGCACCTGATGAGCTTGAGCGTCATGTCCGCCTCATTGTCCGCTGCCCGTTTGAGGCGTCGTGCCTGCTTCAGATACTGGTGCTGATCCCTGGTGGGGAGAGGGAGGGTCAGCACGACAGAACGCAGCCAAGCACGGGCTGCAGGCGGTGAGATCAGGGCCGTCACGGTGTACGTATAGGGGAATAAGGTATACGTAAGTCACGGTATACGTATGTCACGGCATGAGTAAGATAACCAAGCATTTCAATTTTGTATCCGGCCTATTGGATAGTGCTTGTTAAGATCAGATACAACAGCTCAAACAATACTAATCGACTTGCCATCAGTAATGAGCCACGACTGCGAGGCGGTACAGAGGTGGGTGCGTGAGCGCGTTCGCGTGCGGTGGTCTTACGCTGGTATGGCGAACGGCTGGTTGGTGTACAGGGCCGCCGGCACATTGCTGTCGAACACCTGCACGACCGTGGGGTTTGTACTGCTGTCCGCCTCGCGAACACCGGTCGGCGGGGACTCGATCTGGAATGAGGCAGAGTGTCAGCGTCTGGACCCACCACCAGCCGGCCGTCTCTGCTGCCTCCACACAGACCGCTGCTAACGATGTGTTGCATTGCTTGCCCTGGCAGTAATGCCTGGTCGCCTGGTACCCGATGCTTCAAAAGCGCAATAAACACCCTCGCCACTAGGATACAACTCGGCCATAAATAATTCGGCATTTTTTTATACAGACCCAGACTTGGCATACGGAGAAAAGCGATCTTAACACTTCCAAATGCATGCATGCCATGATGAAGACACACCAGTGCTGCACCAGGTGCCCTCGAGATGTGGGCTGAAGTCAACACACGTGCCGAAGAAAAGCGTCAGCTGGCGCGTGCCAGCCACGTGGCCATTTAGGCTGGCCCCGACACGGTCCTGTCACTGCCAGCCAAAATTTGCGATATATTTGGGAAACGATTTACTTTCCAGGTGCTTATAAATACCCGACCCATTTCGTTGCCCCGTGGCCTTAAACGAGAACAAGTGGAGATCTGCTGACTGCGCTGCTGCTCTTACCCTGCTCTCCTGCTGGGCCGAGCTGGGGGTCTTGCACGGGCCCTCCGCCTGGGGCCGCGGGCAGCGCCGCTTGTTCAGTGACGTCACTGTGACGTCATCGTCCCGACTGACGTCATCGAGGGCGCGGCTGGAGCAGGACGAGTGGGAGCGGACCGAACCGTCGTCTCTGGGGCGCGCCCTGTCAGCGGGAGGGACAGGTCAGCCTCTGTGGGGCACTAACGGACGCCCGGTCAGGCTCCTCCATTGTGTGCGTTGTGTCATCAAGTCTTCGGGTCAACCATCATCGTGCGTGTAGTTCAATAACTGACAATATGTGGACATTGGATATGGTCTAACGACACGCCAGTGAATGACAGCATCCAGGCATCCAAATCGTTAGAAATGAGATATGATAGAGCACAAGTCGCAAAAACCCAAACTTTCAATTTGTCCAGCGGCGGTGCACGTTATCAATAGGGTCTCGCACTCCGACGCAGAGGAGCGTACTTTACGCTGGGGCCGAGGAAACGGATAAATCGCTTTCTCTGAGTAATACGACAAAAACACCAAGCACGCCAGCAAGCTCCTTTGAAGATACTGTCTGACCAGGCACATCTCCTCACGTGAGCTTATTGACGGAGTCCTCGTGTCTGTGCTGTCGGGACCGCCGGCCGGACGCCTTGCGGTGCTGCTTCTGCGCGCGTGGCGACGCCGCGTCGTGCCGAGCCTCGCTGTGCTGCGTGCTGGCGCCCTCCCGAGCCTCACGCCGACGGTGGGCCGACTCGGCCCGCTCCTCGGGGCGGTGACCGGCGAACTCCGGCGGTGGGTGGCTCGGCTCGGCCCGGTAGCCCTCGCGGCGGTGACCTGAGTCATCCCGAGCCTCCTTCCTCGCGTGCTTGACCTCCGCCCGCGCCTCGCGGCTGTGGGCGGCTTCGCGAGCCTCGTCGGTCCGCGGGTGGCCCGCCTCACGAGCCTCGGTCCGCTGGCGAGCGTCCGGCGCCGTCACCAGCCAGCGGTCGATCCGACAGCGCAGCACCGGCACGCCGTGGTGGTGTGTCAGTGGCGGCAGCTGCGGCGCCGCCGGCCGCGCGCTGGCCGCCGGCGAGCTGTGCCCCTCGCTGCGCTCGCTGGAGGCGTTCGGCCGCGCGCGCGGCGTGCTCCGCTTGCCCGAGATCCGGTGCGAGAAGAGCCGGCTGAAGGTGGCCTTCTTGTTCGCGTCGCTAGTGCTCACGCCGCCCGCGTCCAGCTTGGGCGGCGAGTCCGAGTCGGAGGAGCAGCGCGCCGGAGCCGGCGCCGGCCGCTCGGCGCCGGCGTCCTGCCGCGGCCGCGCCGGCGCCTCCGCCTCCGACGAGTCGGACGCCGTGTCCACCCGCTCGCGGGACAGGCAGTGCGGAGCGCCGTGGCCCTTGAGGCTGCCCTTGCTGGGCACGGGCCGCGCCGCGACCGGCGCCCGCTCGCACTCCGAGTCGGAGTCGCTTAGCGCCGCTGCCGGCGAGGGCTTCGGCCGAGCACGCGGCCTGCCAGGCCGGCCGGCGCGGCGGGCTCCGGCGCTGGCGCCCGGCGCCGGCCGCTGCTCCGAGCGCCGCTTCGAGCGCTCCAGTCGCTCGTCGTCGCTTTCGCTGAGAGCGGAGAGGCGCGGCCGTGGCCGCTTGCCGCCGGTGGTGGAGCGCACGCTGCCGCTGGAGGCGGCCGGCCCGGCGTGCTCCGGTGAGTCGGACGACGCCGGCGACTCCGACATGTCCATCGGCGCCGGCGCGTCCGACGGCAGCGACGGCGTCTTCACCTGCGGCGGCGACCAACGGCCTCAAACACGCGCGCACACCGGTCTGACGTCACGCGGGCGTGGCTGATGTCAGCCGCATGTGGGCGTAATACAGACGACTGAAGGGCAAATACGGACGGAAAGAAAGGTCGGGAGGATCAGCGTGAGTGCAAAAACAACGGGGCATTGCACACCTAACGGAGCTTTATATTGTCTTTTTCTGGAGCACATTCAAGCGTTTCCTGTGGACGCAAGACAGCGTTAAATAAAATACCATACGGCTTGGACTCTACAGTGATGCTACAAACTTGGGGCCTTGGGGCCTGTATAAAGCTTGAGAGGGTGTTGCATGAATTCCAAGGCCAATTAGACATACATCATACAGCACGCATTGCAACCGACAGAGCCGCCACTAGATTAGGCAAGCAGCCTTCTCAAAAAACGAGCCCCATGGACAGAACGCGTAGTGGTACTAGCTATTTCGTCGATAAGTTGTGCCTGTAACACCATCTCCGCTATCAATGCGATGTGCCCACGAAATCAGCTCCTCTGTTGATATTTCGTACCAGTGAGAGCAGCTTTTCCATCAATGTGTTCTGCCTGTGAGACCAGCACCTTTTTGCTATGCAATACTTTTGAACTCAGATCCTCTGTGAAATTGTCGCACGCTTTTTCCTTTCATCTTTTTGGCGGGTAGCGCGACGCACGCCGTCGCGCCCCCTTTCAGGAGCGCCAGCAACTGCACTGGTCGTGGGACCATCTCCTCTGTCGGTGCTTTGTGCCTGTTGGCCCAACTCTTCCATCGATGCCGCACCTGTGAGACCAGCTCCTCTATGGATATGTCGGCGTCATTGTGGTCGGCTGGCTCAGCGCTGCTTGGTTCCGCCGCCTCCGTGCTGTTCGGGAAGTCATGCGGTGATAGCTGAAAAAGCCGACAGTGATCGACCCAATCACGGACGGGTCCAGAGCGCTGCATGCCACCCAATCCCCGCTGTTTTTTGCGGCACATTCCACATATGATGTCATTTAGCGTCCCAGCCTACCACGCCGATCGCAGCGAAGGGCACTGGAAACCTTGCATGCAACTTAATGCATACTTGTGTGCAGACGAGGATGAAAAACTTCAGGCTCAACACATGCCAGAGGTATACTCGCTGGGTACGCACACCTTGGCCGGCGTCAGCATCCAACAAAAAAGGACTATAGGCGCTACGTTTAATGACCAACTGTTCATTGAATGGTGCGTCCAGCACTGCCTACTGCTGGAGCGTCATTATCCGACCTATCACAGGCACCGGCGCGGGTCCACACAGCGTCAGACGGATTAGGGGGCGCAACCCCACCGCCAGCTTTCCACATCTTCAACCGAGAGGCTTCCAAGACCAGTACACAGCCGTTGTTTTGAACAATGCATGATCCCCTGGGGAGGTCGTCATCTGCACGCCCACTTGCTAATACCGTGATTAAAGCTTCTTCACAGATCCCCGCGCACCGATCGGTGTCATCTGACCTCACTGGTCCCTAGCCCCGGCTGGGCAAGGGAGGAGGGGTTGACCCGGCGCTGCCACCCCGGGACAGGGACGCACCTTGCTGACGCTGCGGGCCGGTGTGTTCTCGAATATGGACGAGGCCGGGGTGCCGCCGGGGTCCTTGTTCATGATGGACTGCAGGCTCCATTTGCTGCGGGCGTTGGTGCTGGGGCTCTCGGATCCCTCCTGGGGAGAGGGGGAGGGGGGGGGAGGGTGAGGCGCGCGCCGGTCAGCCGCTGGGAGCTGGAAGACAGCTGCCGCACAACGTCATGCAGCGACCGATGTGCCTGAGCCAGGGGGGGGGGGCAGGGGGGGGGCACCGGCAGCTGTCACCTGCTGGCAGACAGCTGCCGGGCAACAACGGAGCCAGCAATAATGGTCAGCTTCTCTGGAACGGACGACGGAGGCTTGGACTAAATTGTGATGTGAGTTAGTGGCATACATTTGCATGCAATGCATTCGTGTGTGCCATGTGCTGACTTCCGCCTCTAAGCTACCTTCACCCTGAAACTATGACGCCGCACCCAATGCCCGTCTCATATTGGACAAGACGGATACATTGAGTGAGGTTGTCAAATGCAGTGCAGCACAAGGCAATTGAGTAGCCAACAGAAAATCATGTGTTGTCCGAAAATGCAATATAGCGACAACGGTACCACAAACAGAGAAGACCACGTGTAATATGTACTGGCAGATATGATATCCAAGCCCAGGAAAACAAATCACAGCCCAACAATGAGACACTATGACGGCCAGACACACCCAGACAATGACTCAGACGCTGAGGCGATGTGGCTGTCGGACGCACCCGAAATGGACCACTCTGTCTGGGAAACTCAGACAACGACAGTCACAGCAGCAGCCACAGGGGAAACACACCTCGTGGGACACGGCAGTCACAGCAGCAGCCACAGGGGAAACACACCTCGTGGGACACGGCAGTCACAGTAGCAGCCACAGGAGAAACACACCTCGTGGGACACGGCAGTCACAGCAGCAGCCACAGAGGAAACACACCTCGTGGGACACGACAGTCACAGCAGCAGCCACAGGGGAAACACGCCTCGTGGGACACGGCAGTCACAGCAGCAGCCACAGGGGAAACACACCTCGTGGGACACGGCAGTCACAGCAGCAGCCACAGGGGAAACACACCTCGTGGGACACGGCAGTCACAGCAGCAGCCACAGGGGAAACACACCTCGTGGAACACGGCAGTCACAGCAGCAGCCACAGAGGGAACACACCTCGTGGGACACGGCAGTCACAGCAGCAGCCACAGAGGAAACACACCTCGTGGGACACGGCAGTCACAGCAGCAGCCACAGAGGAAACACACCTCGTGGGACACGGCAGTCACAGCAGCAGCCACAGGAGAAACACACCTCGTGGGACACGGCAGTCACAGCAGCAGCCACAGGGGAAACACACCTCGTGGGACACGACAGTCACAGCAGCAGCCACAGGGGAAACACACCTCGTGGGACACGGCAGTCACAGCGGCAGCCACAGAGGAAACACACCTCGTGGGACACGACAGCCGCGACAAAGCCAACAGACGCCGGCGTGACCAGACAGCCGCCACCAATCAACGAGCGACTGGTGACAACACACCAACAGCATCAGCTAGTGTGTTCGAGTGTCGGCCACACCGGTACACAGACCGGTCGGGGTAAGAGGCAGACCGGCCAGGGACAGGCGGGCCGGCCGGGGTCACGGGCGGGCCGGCCGGGGTCACGGGCGGGCCGGCCAGGGTCACAAGCGGGCCGCCCGGGGTCACGGGCGGGCCGGCCGGGGTCGCAGGCGGACCAGCCGGGGTCACAGGCGGGCCGGCCGGGGTCACGGGCGTGCGACATAGCGTGTGGGGGCGGCTCTGGACAGCACCGCCACCGAAGCACGGTGCGGGACGTGGTTCCGCCAAGAAGCCACAGAGCAATCTTTGCAAACTTGATCCAACCAAAACCTGTGGCACGCAAGGGGTTCTTGAGAAACCATACAGCTGAGCTCCGGTGAGGAGCTGCAGAGCTGGGCATCGGTGCAAGCCCTCCGATATTCCCATATAGCTGACGCCAATCCGGCACTAAAAGCATCACATGTCATCAGCAATGGCGAAAATCTGACACAAATAAAACAACTAAAATGAGCCTGGCCGTACGGCACGAGCCTAGTTGGTAGACAAGGCCTCGGCGGTTTGAAATACTGACGGCGCTCACGCCACTCGAATTCGCCACCATCCCCAGAGTCGGCGGCCCCCCTGCCGTCTGGTCAGACCTCCTCCCCCTCCACAGCATGAGGCCGGCGGCGCGCCCCGGCCGCTCGAGGCCACAAGACCTGACCAAGTCACGCCGGCCGGTGCCAGCTTGGCTGCGACCTCCCACGCCTTCGCGATGAGGCCGGCGCCGGATCGACCGCCCGCCCCCGTACGCGGCACACGTGGGATGCGCCAGGTCAGCCCAACAGTGTTGGCTCCTGGGCAACGCGCCGGTCAGGGCCAGCGGCGCGAAGTTGGACGAGTCGGGGACGAGGGGCGGCGTGCAGCGCGAGACGGTGAGGGCGTCTAACGATGCCAGGACGCGTAAAGGGTACGTGTAGGGCGATCGTTGGCATGGAGCGGACGGAGCGGCAGAAACATTGGCATACAGGGCTGTGACGTGAGACGAGTTAACACCACAGGGATTGGAAACACGCTTGAAATAGTAAGCGTTGACGTGCCGTTTCGGTACTGATAACACCAACGATGGATGCAGTTGTGTTCCGACTGTCAGAAGAGCAAATGCATCATTCCCGCCGAGAGGTTATCGTTGACCTTCGCAAGTGGTACTTCGTGGGTCATTCTGAGCCCCGCCGCGGATTCAGACCATGCAACGGACTGTCGCGGCCCCGTGAGGTCGCATCATGTTGTCCCCTTGGCTAACGACTCTGGAGCACCTAGTTCTCTCCTCTGTCTGATCCGGGCTGGACCGAGTGCGACTCGGACTGGGCAGGCGGTACGTCTCCCACAGCTCCCACCTTGCCGTCGCCTGTTGAGCGATGACTGGCAGACGGCGAGGTAGCGGCTAGCACCTCCTCGCCCGACTCCGACTCTGACTCGGCCGACTCCGAGTCCGACTCGCTGGACGAGCCGCTCGAGCCCGCCCCCGCCGCGGCCCCCGCCACCGGGGCGGAGGTTGGGGCGGGGATGGGGGCGGCGGCCGGAGCAGGCGGCGGCGGCGGCGGCGGCGGCGGCGGCGGCGGCGGTGGCGGTGGCGGTGGCGGAGGCGGCGGCGGCGGCGGAGGCGCCGTCGGTGTCTCGGTGGGGGGCGGGGACGAGGTCCGACTGAAACAAATGAGCGGTGTTGGTCGGGCGAGCAGACGAGCACGGCAGCCGTCTGACAAATGCCGCCATTACCCGGCAACGAGCGCCCGGCGCCCTGGAGGCAGCCCATATCGCTAAACCATCACCCGTAAGTGGTATAAACGTAGTGGGAAACATCAGTAACTTTGAACTGCTTTCACCCACTTGGAAACAAAAAATCCTTCCACCGCTACATGCAGGACACTCCATAAGGAAAACATGCGCAAATATCGCAGCTATATACAATGTCATCAGTGTCGGAAGGCGATTTTCTTTCGCGCATCAACCGAGCACGTCAAGCATACATAGTCGTCAGCTTGAGAAAAGAAACCATGAAGAACTGGATCCATTGGCGGGATGGCCGTGGTACACAGCCTTCTGCAGCGTCCAAAGCGGGCGCCGGAGTGCCACCCGGAAAGCGCATTGGCAATTGCATGTTTGATGCTTCCTATTCCGGTGCGCTTTTCATAACATAGCTAACGTCGCGGACCAAGCCTCCGCTGTAGCCTTCCGCTAAACGAAACACGGCTTGCAAGACGTTCCACGACTTCCCGCAAGTGCCCCGTTGCAGCGCTGGACAAAAACAAGACGACCGAATCCCCCCGGCGGCGCCCAGCTTGACCTCCAACCGCCCGCTTATAAACCCTGATAACTACTGCGTGCCATCTTCGAAGCTGAATAGTCCGGGCCGCCGATTGCCCACCGATGGTGATCGCGCGCCAACCGGCTGCCCACCTCCAGCGAACTATGTGTCTCAGCCCGCTGTGTCCACCATCGATTCCACCAGCGCAGCGTCCACCATCGATTCGGGGCCGCGCGGCGGGGCTCGCGCTCGCTGCCTCACTGGCTCTGACGGCGCCATTGAAGCACAGCCGGTAAATTGAGTAGCATCTGCGAAGCCCTCTCGTCTGCCTCCGGTGCCGTATAAAAATGATGACGCGCCCAGAAGCCATAGTGGCTATCGGGAAAAGGTGCGGCGGTCGGCGGCATCAAAACGGACGGAAGCAACATCACGTGAATAAGAGACAGGCTGGGAGGTAGATCGGATTCCTGCGAGGACAATCTTGTGACCGGAAGACATGTGGGTTGCTTGGTTATGAACGCCCAGGCATGCCAGGCGGGAAGACTGACGTGAACACCAGTACGAGCGGAGCGGAAACGAGTCTGTTTTTGTCTTTGCTCTAAGTTCCCGAGACACAAGCTATTTATCGGAACGTTATGCAAGATGTGATGCATCGATTTTGTACCCTTCGGTCTTAGACAATGCTGATGGGGAAGATGTTTGTAGCAGACAGGATCAGAGGCCCAGATAAGATGCATGCGCCGTCCCCTTCGCATGGGCGTTCGCATGGGCGGACACACCATCCCAAACTGTAGCTGTGATTACCAGTTCCACCGAAACGACTTCGGATGGAAGGATGGAAGCCACACCGCCGGCAGCCACCACCAAGACGACTTCGGATGGAGGGATGGAAGCCAGACCGCCGGCAGACACCACCGAGACGACTTCGGATGGAAGGATGGAGGCCAGACCGCCGGCAGACACCACCGAGACGACTTCGGATGGAAGGATGGAAACCAGACCGCCGGCAGACACCACCGAGACGAGTTCGGATGGAGGGATGGAGGCCAGACCGCCGGCAGACACCACCGAGACGAGTTCGGATGGAGGCATGGAAGCCACACCGCCGGCAGACACCACCGAGACGAGTTCGGATGGAGGCATGAAAGCCACACCGCCGGCAGACACCACCGAGACGAGTTCGGATGGAGGCATGGAAGCCAGACCTCCCGCAGCTAGCCCGGCGATCGACACTGCCACACATTGATCACCGCCACACATTGATCACCGCCACACACTGATCACCGCCTATCCTCGTCCGCGGCTGGCGAACAGGCCTCACAAACCCGAGCAAGCGCGTGCTTCCCTGCTGGAAAGCCAACGCCATAGCCGCTTGGTTCTGCGAGCGACTAAAATGTTCAAGTTCGTCTCGCCCACGACAATCCGGCTACATTGGCCTGAGGGCACGCGTGGGCGCGGCTCCGCGCCGACACTCAGCAGTCAGGATTGGCGGAACCGTCGCTTCAGACCACTTCCGCCGGGCGTCAGAGGTTACATGTAAATACGTCACTGGCTATCACTGGTTACTGGTGCTCAGCAGGCGCTGCTAATGTCTGCTGTCTGCTCACCACATAACATTCCTGGACATCACTGGTTGTCACACGTCACTGCTAGTCATAGCCTGGTCGTAACCTATCATCGACGGACGTCGTACACATCACCTCAAATCGTTACACGCCGCTGTTTATCAGCGCACAAGACCAATGGACAAAGCTCACCATCAACGGACGTAATGCACGCCATTGACCATCAATAAACAGCATCAATGAGCACCGTCACTCGTCACCGCACGTCAACGCACGCTTCCGGTCCTCACACAGCGGCAATCGTTATCCCCTTTCACCAAGCATCGCTGCCCCGCTACTAGGCGTTACCATATGTCATTGTTGGCCGCACAGCGTAACCAGACGTCACTGATCACCACAAGGCCTAACCAGACGCCAATGGGCGTGACACAGCATCCCCAGACGTCACCGATCGTCATTGGCAGTGACAAGGCGCGGTCAGATGTCACTGGGAGTGAAAGGCATCAACGGGCGTCATCGGACCTCACTGAACGCAGCCAGGCGTCACTGAGTGCCATTAGGCGTAAACACATCACTGGTCGTCACTGGGCGTGACAGGACGTATGCACGCATCACTCAGCGTGACGGGGCGTAACCAGACGTCACTGGGCGTCACGACTGGGACCGATCGATGCGGCAAATATGGCGCGGGCCCCAAGCCGGCAAAAACCGATCGCCGGCCACCAGGTGCCCGCGGCGATGTCGTGTAAGCGCGGGCCGAGGGCGGTCGAGGAGCCGCGGACGTCCCCACACCAGACGCACTGAGAGCGCAGCGTAGGTTCTCGCACTGCGCCGGGGAAGCTAGCGGATGGGGTGAGCGCAATCATTAGGAGGCCCACACAAACGAGCCGCGGTGGTGAAGAAATAATGACGTTTGGTAGGGATGGGGACATCATCTAATGTGGAAAAGTACAACATGTGCGTTCCAGCCGTTGAAAGTCGGACGTCTTTTCCGTCAACACCGCGGCTCCAACGCAGGCTGGGTCTGCCCACAACACAAGAGGAGAACTTCCCGACAGCCGCCGGCAGCCGGGACAAAGGCAGCTCTCCTGCCGGGACAGCGGGGGATGCCGTAAAACTTCCGTCCACTCGCCGAGCAAGCGTCTGCAAATGCTCTGCTGCCGCTGGCTGTCGCGTGAGCGCCTTGCGGGCCCGTGACGGGGGCGACGACCCCGCGCCGTCTCTCGCGCCCGCCGACCAACGCCCCGGCTCTGGAGGACCGACACCCCGCCGTGAACGCCTGCCCGCGCGCCCGACGGCTCCCCGGAGGCTCGTGCCACGCAGTACACGACGAGTGCCGCTTCGACGCACGGGGTCGACTCGCGGCGAGAGGGCCGGCTCGGCTCGACTCGTGGCGAGAGGGACGGCTCGGCTCGGATCGTCACGAGAGGGACGGCTCGGCTCGACTCGTCACGATAGGGACGGCTCGGCTCGGCTCGTCACGAGAGGGACGGCTCGGCTCGGCTCGTCACGGGAGGGACGGCTCGGCTCGGATCGTCACGAGAGGGACGGCTCGGCTCGGATCGCCATGAGAGGGACGGCACGGCTTGACTCGTCAAGAGAGGGACGGCTCGGCTCGGCTCGTCACGAGAGGGACGGCTCGGCTCGAATCGTCACGAGAGGGACGGCTCGGCTCGGATCGTCACGAGAGGGACGGCTCGGCTCGGATCGTTCAGAGAGGGACGGCTCGGCTCGACTCGTCACGAGAGGGACGGCTCGGCTCAGATCGTCACGAGAGGGACGGCTCGGCTCGACTCGACTCGTCCCGAGAGGGACGGCTCGGCTCGGCTCGGCTCGTCACGAGAGGGACGGCTCGGCTCGGATCGTCACGAGAGGGACAGCTCGGCTCGGATCGTCACGAGAGGGACGGCTCGGCTCGGATCGTCACGATAGGGACGGCTCGGCTCGGATCGTCACGAGAGGGACGGCTCGGCTCGGCTCGTCACGAGAGGGACGGCTCAGCTCAGATCGTCACGAGAGGGACGGCTCGGCTCGGCTCGTCACGAGAGGGACGGCTCAGCTCGGCTCGTCACGAGAGGGACGGCTCGGCTCGGCTCGTCACGAGAGGGACGGCTCGGCTCGGATTGTCACGAGAGGGACGGCTCGGCTCAGATCGTCACGAGAGGGACGGCTCGGCTCGGATCGTCACGAGAGGGACGGCTCGGCTCGGCTCGTCACGAGAGGGACGGCTCAGCTCGGCTCGGATCGTCACGAGAGGGAGGGCTCGGCTCGGCTCGTCAGGAGAGGGACGGCTCGGCTCGGCTCGTCACGAGAGGGACGGCTCGGCTCGGCTCGTCACCAGAGGGACGGCTCGGCTCGACTCGTCACCAGAGGGACGGCTTGGCTCGGATCGTCGCGAGAGGGACGGCTCGGCTCGACTCGTCACGATAGGGACGACTCGGCTCGGATAGTCATGAGAGGGACGGCTCGGCTCGGCTCGTCACCAGAGGGACGGCTCGGCTCGGCTCGTCACGAGAGGGACGGCTCGGCTCGGCTCGTCACCAGAGGGACGGCTCGGCTCGGCTCGTCACCAGAGGGACGGCTCGGCTCGGCTCGTCACGAGAGGGACGGCTCGGCTCGGCTCGTCACGAGAGGGACGGCTCGGCTCGGCTCGTCACGAGAGGGACGGCTCGGCTCGGCTCGTCACGAGAGGGACGGCTCGGCTCGGCTCGTCACGAGAGGGACGGCTCGGCTCGGCTCGTCACGAGAGGGACATTCGCAGCGCGGGCCACTGAGCCAGACGTGAGTCAGTCCGTACAGTGGCCGGCCGCCCACGCGCCGCCGCGTCAACAAATGACAGCCAGCGACGGACTATTTTCGGCACACGCGATTGCTGAGGTCGCGCATTAACTTTCGGTTCATGTTCGTTCCAGGAAGGATAATAAGCACACGTGCTCCTATGCCGAGAACAATGGACGACAAAGGCTGCAACGTTGGCGAACGCAATTAACACCCTGGTGCCACTGCAGAAAGACTGGTATTAACAATGTGGAGAGATTTGGCGACCACGGCTGCCTGAATCCACGAACTATGCATCCCCATAGCGCATTACGCGTGTTATCTGCTCTACATTCTAGTGTCAGAAAGCGTTTATGCTTGACCCACTGTACGGACAACGGTGCCAAAAGGGCCAAACTCAAGATCTGTGATGGGCCCAAGACCTCAGCAGCTACACCAATCAACTGGTTCTAGGTTCCAAGTTCCAGATGGACGCTGGGTCTGGTGGCGAGCACGACGGGCGGTAAGCACGTGACTACGAGCTGTAGGACACTAGATAGCGAGTCAAGCCTTTCAGCCTCACCTACGAGCGGTGAACTGTGCGCAGTGAGAAGTGGGCAGTGGACAGTGAGTCGAGGACAGTGGGCAGTGAGCCGCGAGCCAAAAGACGCGAGCTACGAGCCATGAGCCACACGTCATAAACCGTGAGCTGTGAGATACGAGCTGTGAGTCATAAGTCACAAGTCGTGAGTCATGAGCCACACGTCATGAGTCGTGAGCTGTGATGTATGAGCTGTGAGTCATAAGTCACAAGTCGTGAGTCATGAACCACACGTCATGAACCGTGAACTGTAATATATGAGCTGTGAGTCATAAGCCGCAAGTCGTGAGCCATGAGCTGCGAGCCGTGAGCCGTGAGCGGAGCTCTGCGGGCTGTGCAGCCACGCTCGGCGTCCGCAAACGCTGCTGGCAGCCGGGGAGTAACGAGACGGGTCGGTCGATCGGCGGCGCCCGGCAAAGGTCGCGCCGAGTGGGCGGCACAATCAGGCGGACAGCGGACACGACGATCAGTCAGACAGCGGGCCGGATCCGCCGCCGTCCGCGGGCCGGACAGTGGAGTGGGCGGCACAATCAGGCGGACAGCGGACACGACAATCAGTCAGACAGCGGGCCGGATCCACCGGCGTCCGCGGGCCGGACAGTGAGCCGAACGGAGGACAGGAAAGCAAGTGGGATAATCTGATGGACAGCCGGTAATACAGCGGACGAAACAGTCAGGTGGACAGCGGTCACGGAAGCGGGACGAATATTCAGAGGAAAGTGAGCAGCACAGCGGCCCGGACAGCGGACCAGACAGCGGCCGGGACAGCGGACCAGACAGTGGAACAGACAATGGCCCGGACAGCGGACGAGACAGTGGATTGAACAGCGGACCAGACAGCGGTCCAGACAGCGGCCCGGACAGCGGACCAGACAGCGGACGAGACAGCGGCCCGGACGGCAGACCAGACAGCGGACCAGACACCGGACTGGACAGCGGACCAGACAGTGGACCAGACAGTGGACCGGGCAGTGGACCAGACAGCGGACCAGACAGCGAAGCGCTGGCTGATTCCTGCTCAGGACATGGACTGGTTGCAGTGCGTGGGCTACGGCAGATTCAGGGTGTGGGAGGCCTCAGTGGCTCGGGACAAATGGTAAGAAGCGGGGGACGTGATGTGGCTTGTTGGTCGCTTGTCTCCCCATACAGGAGGATGGAAATCACAGAAACGCTTCAAAGCGAAGATCAAGTGAACCTCAACCGATGTCTTTCACTACACTGCAAATACAGCTGAAGGCGATAAGAGCCCCGCACGGGTCAGCATTTCACATATTGCACGAAATGAAGCCAACCGACAAAGCTATGCGTGACGACGGAGCTATTATAACAGTTTTTGTTGCCACAGGATGAGCGCGACTTACGATGTTCATTTACGTAGAAAACACGACAGCACCAATATACAGCAGGAGAAAGTCGGAGAGAGATGCCCAGCGAGATGACGTCACTGGCAAAGGGAGCAGCGGGAATGTCACTGGCAGGGGGAAGGCTTTAGCGACAGTTCATAGTGTCACCATTTGTCCGGACCGGACTATGCCAGCGCACCGGCCGCACAGCGCGATGGAAGGCCGCAGTCGCGAAATGACACCTCCTCGTCCACCGGCTACTACCGACGCACAACGCGACAAACAGACGAAAATGGGTCTACGGGACATGCGTCTTCATTCTAGGTTAATGTGCATACCAGCCGATGGGAGTAGGGCGGCCCTGGATCGGACGGCATAGATGAAAGTCCCGCTCTGATTGGCCACACGTCCTTCAGGGCGCGCCGTCCGACACCAGAGCACCAGTCAGCAAATCTCTGAGTTGGCAGTGGGGCGTGGCGGGCCCCGAGGTCCGAACGCCACGGGGCTGACAATCGCCCACCGCCCGCGACCCTGCCGCTGACCATCGGTCTACACCATCGGTCCGCACCATCGGTCCGCACCATCGGTCTGCACCATCGGTCTACACCATCGGTCCGCGGAGCCGCCCGCATGGCCGGGACCAGCTCCAGCTGCATCCGACCCGTGCCTCGCGCTCTTCCAATGCCAGCCCCGCGCGCGTTTGGGGCGGCCGTGCCAGCCCGGCGGTCCCACGTGCTCACAACAGCAGAATGGCTGATGAAACGCTCCGGCCGACTGGCGGCGCGGACTAGCTTTGTCTTGGCTCACGCCCAACGGTCTTCGTCGCCGTGAAGAAACGCCGGCAAATAAGATCACGACGAGGACTTTTTTGGAATTGCTGGTCGCGTGCCGTGGTGCCTGGTGCCGTGTCGAGCACAAACTGTCAGCTGTGTGAGGGAGTGCCTGGCACAAGGGTCGCTACACGTTCGCAGTGTCCAGGCACAGATGAAATATGCAACGCTCATGACCTTGTCCCAACAATGCACTGTGGTGCACGGACTTTAATGGCGACGCCCGACAAATGTCGCTGAAACCCGGAGCGACACGACTGCATACAACAAGCGAAAACGCACTGAATAATTGAGGAATCCGTTGCATACCAAAGTCGGTTATTGTGCGCTGACAACTTGAAATGGTGTGAGGCGAAACTGACGCCACATACGTGTTCGCCCGCGCTGGGTTGCGTCCTGGCATTCTAGGCAGTCGGCATTTTTCCATCACTCACGTTGGGGCCGCTCCAGTCGTTCGTCAAAGCTGGCCTCATTCAGTATATTACGGCGGCGTCAAGCCTGGGGTGTAATGACGGGGACTTGACCGTTGTTCTAAGCCCGGGGAAGCCCCACACAGAGCCATCACAGGTCGCGATGTTCGAGGTCTAAACCAGGCTCGCCAGAATTGTTCTACGGATCCTGAATACACAACTGCCGTTGAGAACTCGAGAGAGCTGGACCCTGCCTGGGCCTCAGCTATACATAGATGACAATTGTTAATAGCCAGGTATCTACGGATAACAGGCCCAGGATGTAAGAGATAGAATAGCCCACACCTACAACTTCTCCACCAACCTCCCGACCATTCCAGCCCTAAGTAGTCTCCATGTACTTCCCTCTTAATAGCCCCGCCGCCGCAATAAATTCCAGGCGAACTTTGCGCGGAGAGCGTCGTCCTCACAGGCGCCGGGAAGTTAACTGGGAAACATCCCATAGTTAGTTCTCTGATTAGGTAAGTTTTCGGCCGGGACGGACCAGCCCCGGGCACTTCCAAGTACCTGGACTTAGCCTTATCCCACTCCTGGGACGGAGTTGCACATAGTTGCAGACTGCAACAGTGGCCGTCTTTGGGCCTGGATTCAAGGCCGGCCTACAGCCCCGGGCGGGCACAAGTCATCAGCCGCCACGGTAACCGCAGGTCGAGAAAAGACGCAACTGCCGCGGCTCCGTGTCCCGGGACCGGCGGACCAGTGGCCTCTGACCTGCGGTAGCTGGACCTCGGCCGCAGCGCCGTGCCCCGAGACTGGCGGACCAGTGGCCCCTGACCTGCGGTGGCTGGACCTCGGTCGCAGCGCCGTGCCCCGGGACCGGCGGACCAGTGGCCCCTGACCTGCGGTAGCTGGACCTCGGCCGCAGCGCCGTGCCCCGGGACCGGCGGACCAGTGGCCTCTGACCTGCGGTAGCCAGACCTCAGCCGCAGCTCCGTGCCCCGGGACCGGCGGACCAGTGGCCTCTGACCTGCGGTAGCCAGACCTCAGCCGCAGCTCCGTGCCCCGGGACCGGCGG